AGTGAAACATAGAAAAAAAAAACACTTCAAGTTTAAGAGCATGAGACCTCTAGAACTAAACCATTAAAAGGCATATTGGAGCAATAGTACCTAACAAAAAATTAGAAAATCAGGCTTAAACGGAACACCCATCATGATGATTCAGAGCTACTACCTCTTTGATGATTAATCTTTCCATCATCCGAGCCAACAGTAGAATCAAAGAACCATCGACCTAATTTACAAGCATCGGAAAAACCAAAGAAGCAGACAAAAACAATCACATAAATACAATGCTATAACTCTTAAATTACTCACGCTTGTGCTTCTTCGATGAGGATGTTTGACCCTGAACTAGATTGATGATGAAAGCTGTGAAACTAAGGAATACGGGGGTAACTCTCCTCCTCCATTGTGCGGATGCGGCACCCACCTCCGTTTCATCAATGACCATGGTTGAGGTGATCTGGGGTTGGCTCGGTTTTGCTCAATTTGTTTTCAAACCTTTCTTCATCACCTTACAAAATAATTATTGTGAAATGTCAAATAAAAGAGATTCCGGTCCAAAATACAGGTTAGAGGGGGAGAGGGAGCCGATGACGGTGGGGAAGGAGAATTGAGAAGACTCTATTTGGTGTTGGGTTGATTTAGGGTTTCACTCAAGTGGGTAAAGGTAAACGGGACGAACCAAATGAAATGAAATTAGTTTGGTATCTCACGCGTGCGAAGAAGAAGGGACGAACCAAAGTCACGCGTGGGAGGCATTGACCGTGGATGGTCGAACGAAAGACCAAGAAGTGCCATCCGCACTTTAGAATTTACTTCATAATGAAGCTTCTCGTGAAGATACTGCTTATGGCTGGCCCCTCCAAGAATCAATCCTTGTTCATTGTTCTATTACTTTAGGATCTATTGTAATACCTTTTTTTTTAATTTGAGAAAACCACCTCGTATATATTATTATAGGATAAATGGTTGACCTGAATGCATACATTAGAATTAGATTGAAAGCATCGTCATTCAAAACCATGACTACTACACCACCATCAACCAAGAAAATACCACCATTATACATAGCGAACAGCCCACACCCACAAAATGTTGTTGCCACACAAATGCATCAGTTGTTTCAAAAAAAAAATAGCACTAGCAAAGAATTAATTTTTCTTTGGAGCCTAAAATTGCACTGGTACATAATAACGACAGTCAAGTTATAATTATCTTTTTTGCATCCAAAATTAATTCAAGGAGAATTCTCCTTAAGAGCTTTCATAATTCTTATTAGGGGCGTAAAGCTAAAGATGATAGTTTTATTATAAATGAAATGACTTTTTCTATCTTCATATCTCCGTCTTAACTTAAAATTCCAATTGTGTCCATCTTTCCTAAGTCCCACTATATTCTCTTATTCAACATACTGTATATGATGCCAAAGATAAGAAAATACTTGGGTTTGGATCTCAACTTTCTCCATCAATTTCATATTTTCTTTTCCCGCACTACATCTAAAATTCGGGCAAATCAAATAGACTAGTTCTCAAAAGTTGTGCTAATCCAATGAAAATGAGACGATATGTTCGTTTTTCATGTAATACAATAAAATATTGATTGGATAGTTATGAACAACAGACATCTGATTTCTATATAAAGAAAACAAACAAAGAGTTGAAAATATCCTAAACTAAGATAAGTTCTTAAGTTGTTAACATAAATAATATTTTTACAAGATAATGAACAAAATTGTTAAAGAAGAAGATAGCACATTGAATTTGTTAGACCCTTAATAATAGAATTCAGCGAGGTACACTATTAGGTAAATTTTGAGGAAATCATGAACACTTTTTTTCCTTTTGTTTTTGGGCATTTTCCAGGGTATGTAGAAGTCATGAAGAAAAATCTTTGAATGTGTATTTCCATTGTTTTTTCACATAAGAGAAGTCTTTAATTAAGGCAATAAATGTTGAATTTGGTGTGAAACATTAATTGTAAGTTCTTAATTTTTTTTACCAATTTTGCATGGAACGGAAAACAATAATTAAGGACATTAGATCACTTTCAATTATTGTGAAAATACTATTAAATAACTTTATGCCCCTAATAGGAATATGCGATGTATCCACTCTCTTCAGGAATTTAATTGTTACAACGCCCTTAAAGAGAACTTTCGCAAAAGAATTATGGTGCGTTGCATTTTTTATTTTCTTGCTAATTTTAAAAATCAAAATCTAGACTAATTGATGTATATTGGAAAGTCTAGAATAAATTTCCATTTCAATAACAACATTGTTATGATGCTAATGATGATGAAAGAAGAAAGGTTAATGGTGCTACTGTAGTTCTCTATGGGCAAATTATAACAAGCACCTTTGTGTACCTAAGGGGTGCGTGTGATACAAATATGACAAAAAAAGAGTAGAAATTTTATCCAATAAGTTAACCCATTCACGCGCATATTTTGATTAATTAAGAACATGATTTTTATCTCTTTTTTTCCTCACACGTTTAATTTTATTTTTTTTCTTATCATGTTCACTTTTTTACAATTTGATTTTATTCAATTTTCTTATTATTTATTATATCTTGATCTTTTTTTCTATTTTTTTATATTTAAATTCGATGACATAAATTATCTTAAATTCAGATTTCGATTATGGAATTGATGACATGTAAAATATTTATCAAGTTTGGTAAAATTGAATATGTCTCATCATCGAGACTTATAAATCTGAAAAATCTGTTAGAGCAAAAAATTTCAATTGATTAGCAATGGAATCCGGAGAATCAAGCGTCAAATTTAGAAAATTTTAATGGATAACGATATTTTGTTAGATGAATAATGGTATGCTTATCAATGAATAATAGTCATGTTGTAGATGAATAATGATATTCTTATAGTGACAAATATATGAATGACTAAATTAAATTTTGAAATTAATAACGATGCAAATCTTGATGAATAATGATCATATCCTAGATGAATAAATATACTAAAATGAAGAATAGATGTGGTTTTGCTAGATGAATAATCGTACTCTAACAAATGAATAATGTAATGTTAATGGATGAGTAATGCGCAATAGAATGAATAGCTTTGATATATATATATAAAAAAAAAACTAACTAGAGTATATTTTATAATGAGTTAATGTCAGCAACTAAGCTAACAACCTTCTAATCATATATTATACTAGACCAATTTTTTAACAATAAAACTAGTCATTTATAAGTTCTTGAAGGATTCACCGAACTCAGTACATTTATGTTGATTGTTTGATTCTAGCAACTCTGCAAATATTTCATTCCCAATCAATCGAGTTCATTTTAATGAGCATTTTTTTGCCGCTGATCAAACAAAGAGAACACTATAATAAGTGAGATTTTACATTCAATCAAAATTTTGTTTTGGCTAAAATATTGATTAATTGATAATGGGTTAAAAGGATTTGTAACAATCAAACATAATCCATTAGGTTATAGTCTACAACATAATTTACACAAATTTCTATCATATTAAATAATGAATAATCATCAGAATGAAAAAATCAATTCCAAAAAAAATTACATAAATTTAATCCAGTTAACATAAAATACATGATGAATCACAATGCTACTAAAGATGAATTAAAATATCACTGATGATAAATAACACATCTCTGGAATGAATACAAATCTCTATAGAATGAATACTATAGGAGCAAAGCATGAATTACACAAATTTACATGATGAATAAGAAATTCACCTTATAAATGACACATTTTGGCATGATGAATAACATAGTTTTACAAGATTAATAAAATATATTTACAATCATATACAAGCACGCATTAAATGATGAATAACAAAATTGCTAAGATGAATGACATTTACGGGATAACTAACACAAGTTCAAAGGATGAATGAAATAAATTACAAGATGAATGACAAATATACTCATGATTACATTAGATCAATTTTTAAATGAATAACAATATAATCGAGGATGAATAATTTAGCATCAGATACAAAATGAATACCTACTTCACCAATGATAAATACCTTAATAGGTATGATGAATAATATTTTTATACTTAATAAACACAAAAAATGTAGTGTATTAGGGTCATAAATTTGTTAGATAAATACTTATATCCTTATTGATAAATAACTATATCCATGTATATACATAGGTCATTCGAACAACACGTTGACAATACAAGTAGATGAATAACCACATATTACGGATGAATATGACCAAAATGTACATATTTCATTTATCCATTCAGATGGATAACAATTAACAAAAAATGAATATACTATCGCATAACCCTCTATTATCGATGAAAAATGGATGGGTAAATGTTGAATAATGAACATATCTCGAAAATCCTTCTAAAATCAATAACAAATAAAAGAACAAAACTAAAAAATTGGTGAATAACCATTTATAATCGAATGTATAGTCCTTAGATCTACATAACCCAACCAAAAATCAGAATACACAATCGTTGAATAGATTAATTAATAGTATTATTACCTTCTATCTTCAGGCATAGAGTTGCTCTTATTCGAATTAGAATACACAATCATAGCCCTCTACATGAATATTTCAGAAAAAATAGCATTATTAGAATTTCATACATGGAAGAAACACACAAAACCGATGAATCAACGGAGTATATTACTCATGGAATTGGATGCAAAATCTGATTCTGCCTTCAAAAATACCACCAACGAGAGGTTTTGTTACCAAATCGCTGTAGAGAAGAATATTTGGTTTTTTAGATTTTTTAGTTTGAGATGGATTAGATTGAATGGAATAGGAAGATGGATATGGTTAATAGCTAAAAATTAGGAGGAAACAGTGGTTCTTAGGATTTGAAAATCAAAAAATCCCGTAGAAAGGGCGAGTTTAATGGGCGCGTGCATATCACTGAAATGGCATTGATGTAAATATTGTAACCTCCCCCTTTTTTAGGCGCACGTTTAACACACTAGGAACACTGATGAAAATCATAAGACTTCTTATCGAAGTTTAAACCAAATGAAGGAGCAAAATGTGTTCTTGTTAATTGGTGGACCAAAATTATTTCCTTTCAAGAATAGAAGAAAGTGTGATGTGAGAAGTTGGCCTTCTTTGAAGGAATTATCTCCAACACCTTCTATTAGGAGCAATGATGGAGAAGAAGAACCGCTTAATCAACAACAAGTGTCAAAGACGTCAAGTGATGATTTCCCTAGCAATTGGAGTGATTCAAGTGATGAAGATTCAAGTGATGTTGTGGAGATTGATGCAAGTGAGTTTGTTCCAAAGAGCAAGCTCCTTGAAGATATTGAAGATGCACATTCAAGCATGTAAAAGACATCAATTGAAGTTGAAGATTTAAATTGAAGCCGTACACGCCAAAAGAGGAGGAAGAGTCGTGCGGGAAAACAATTTAAATTATTTAAATTATTGTTGAGTCCATAAATAGATAAAATGTCTATTTACTTAAGTTAAATAAATTAGGGTTTAAGAGCTTGTATGGCCGGCCCTAGGGAGTATTTCATTAAGGGTATTTGAGTCTGTCACCATTAATAGAAGTAAAGTTAATTGTTTTCCTTAATGGTTAAGTTTAGAAAGAGTTTGAGTTTAATTTAACTACGTCTTCTTGCATCAAGAAATTCAAACGTCTAGTCATCACCTCCGCCACTATATGGAATGAATAAGGTGATAATGGATCACCTTGTTTTATACCACGAGAAGCCTTAAAGAAACCAGCTGGAGAACCATTCACCACCAACGAGAACCAACTTCTTTGATGATTATTCATGATCAACAAAACGAACCCCTGCAAAAACCCTAACTTAAGTAACACCTTTTCCAGAAAATTCCATGCCACACGGTCAAACACTTTCATCATATCAACCTTGATTATCACATTGTTTCTAACTGCCTTGTGAGTAACAAATTGACAAAGATCTTGGGCTAAGACTACATTGTCAATGATGTCGTGCCCCTCAAGAAATGCGGACTGCTCTTCGGAGATGATTTTTGGCAAGACTTTCTTCATTCTCTCGGCCAAATTTTTGTAAACACCTTATTTAGGAAATGGCATAGACTGATTGGCCTAAAATCCGAAAAGGTAGTAAAAGAATGCTTTATCAGCAACAAGGTTATAAGGGTACTGGCAACAGCACTTCGAATCGGCACTCCACCCATTAATTCATTACAAGCGCGCAACAGGTCTTCAGCAATGGGGTCCCAAAATGCCCTATAAAATGAACCTCCAAAGCCTTCAACCCCAGGAGAACTGTCCACACTAAGGTTGAAAACAGCAGCCCGAATCTCATCCATTGTTACCATGCTAACTAACATTTCCTTCTCAGAAAGATCAAGCTCATCATGTAGTAAATGCAAAAAATTTTCCCGTTTCTCTCCTTGTAACAATGGCGTGGATTCCTCAGTCAATAAATTTTAAAAAAAATCACCGCCTCAGCCTCGATATCTCTCCTTCTTTTAACCACTTCAATCTCATCTTTTGTTTCCAAAAATCCTCATGCTCCTTTAACTTTTGGAGAAAAGAAGCATTAACCACATTGAGATTTATTCTATCCTTAACTCTCTTACCTTTTCTTCAACCTTCTTTAAATTTTCAAAAATATCTCCAAAATGCTCTCTATTCCATCCCGTAAGCATCATTTTCAGCCGGCAGAGCTTTGTTGAAAATGCTAACATTCCAAAACCAGACATAGGCTGAGACCAATTTTCCTTCACCACCTCTTTAAATTCCGGTCTCCTTAACCACATTTGAAGGAGTCGGAAACATCTTGGCTTACTTTCTACTTGGACATCAAACTGGAGCAGGAGTGGACAGTGGTCCGAAGTTGTGCGACTAAGATGTTCAATTGAAATCTTCGGAAACATATTAAGCCATTCTTGTGAAAACAAGATGCGGTCCAATCTCTTGCTAACCCAATCGTTATGCCTTGTACCACCCCAAGTATATTCATCACCAATAGGAGGAACCTCAAGCAATTCGCTGGCATCAATACATTGGTAAAACTCTTCAATCGCACCATAATCTTGTACCGACGATCACGAATACTCCTCCAAGGATCGAATTACATTGAAATCCCCTCCAACAATCCAAGGCGAGCTAGGATGCGCCCTTCTGAAATTCTCCAAGCTATTCCAAAGAGCTCTCCTATCAACTTTATTTGACTTTGCATATATTGAAGACAACAAAAAAAAATTTTGAAGCGGAATATATCCAACCTCAAAATGCAGCACTTGCTCCGTATCTTCCAACATATTAATGGTAAAAAGTCTACTACAAAGCACCCAAATCTTACTTGTGGAGGATGTAAAGGCAAGATCAAACCTCAACTCTCTTCTTATTTCTTCCAACTTATGAATTGGAAGCATTGGTTCAAGAATGACCAGTAATGAAATTTTATAAATCTAAATCATGGACCTCAAGCGGCATTGAGATGCCTAACTTTTTATTCCACGAATATTCCAAAAAAATGACACTAATAATTGGAAACTATAGAGAGATTGTAACCTACTGAAATCGAAGGGATCGCCTTAACTCGACATCCTCCACTTGTTTAGCTCGTTCTTCCTTCGACTTCCGGCCGCGCGTCTTCTTAACGGAGCGTTCGCCTTGGTCATTTTCAGTGATTTGATCTTCATGTATCTCCCCTTCAGACCACAACTCTCTCTCATCATTATCTTCGTCACAATCATGGCTATCAGTCGCAAACTAATCATCTGGGAAACGAACTAAACCAATTTTCAGAACGAGAGCCATATTCTGCATTTTCAACTCAATCAAAGAACTGGTTTTATCCGATACCATTTCACCAACAATCACATAAGCACCGACCTCATTATCTTGTTTCCGCTGGTCATGATTATCAACTTCAGTGAAAACATTTTCGACCTCATCATCAATATCACCATCGTCCTTATCTTGGAGTACCAAAAAATGATTTTCAGATTGAACTGGAGGCTATGCAACCACCCACTGGGAAACATGTACAATTTCTTCTCTAACCGGAGATGGCTGTAAATCTAACGGGATTGTTTCCTTTTCCATCGTTGATAATCCAGAAGTTGATTCCAACTGGTGCGACTCAAGAGGTTGATTCGCAGGGTGTACGACTAAAGATTGCGCAGCTAGGGTTCCACACGCAAGGCGCGCATCATCAAGTCGCGGATCTAGGGTTTCTTCCGCAGGGTGTGCTTCAACGGTTTGTGCCGCTTCTGATTCCTTCTCAACTCCTCTTACCACCAATGGATTCAAACTGAGAATTTGAGCTTCCAGATCATTCTTAGTTTCTCCACCTTTAAGCAGCCACTTTTGTGTTGCCGATTTGATTTCGATTCCTTTCTTTTTCAAGGCAGGAACCACACTCTTCTCGGCCTCATTCTTCAGCACCGAGGGTTTTCTAACTCTACAATCAGTTTCCTTGTGTCTGATTTTGCTACACTTCAAGCAATACGATGGAATCTGCTCGAACGTGAAAATTTGCTCATGTTTACGACCCATTTTTGCCCACTTTAACAGACTTTGGCAAATCCTTCGTAAGATCCACTTCTACACAAAAGCGAGCAACCGAAGGATGAGTCATATTCATTATTGGGGTATCCACTTTCAATGGTTGACCAAGAGCTGTAGCCATCGAATATATCACTTCTGGGTGCATGAACTAGATGGGAAGATCATAAAGAGCAATCCATATAGGCACAACTAGCGGATCTTCCTCAAATCGAAATTCGGGCTTCCACTTTAACATTCTCATAGAGAATCCACCAATGTTCCAGAACGTCCGTATGCAACATCTTTGATAATCCTCTTCTTACTCGAATCGGATCAATACATGTCTAGGATTCATTAAGCCTAGAGCGTATCCTCCGTGAAATCCGATTTTTTTTTGAATTCGTTGTGAATCTCCTCCATTTTCGACCAATCGTAGGAATACTTTCCAACCAAACAAAACCAGTGAGGAGCGATCAATTGTTCGAACTCATTATCTTCAAACTCCCATGTAGGAGTGCCATTGACAAACTTGACTTCCTTGATCAACGAAGTCTTGTTAGTAGCATCATCGGCTGGCTTCTGAAAAAAACTAGCATAGGATCGGTGCAGGATGCACCACCGGTGGATGAGCGCTGGCCATGATGGCCGATTCCCAATAAGCCGTCGCAAATAGGGTTGTGGGTAGAGAGAAAAAAGCACTTGTGATTTATTTATTATATATTGTGTTTATCCTTGATTATGGTTGTTTAAAATGCATAGTTTTTAAGTAGATGTTTGGTTCATCGTTCTTTATCCTGATCTATGCCATGTAAGCCATGACATGTTTGTGATTTGAGTTCAATAATTAGCTCTTATTGTGTTATATCATACAAGTTAAATGGATCCTTTGACTTGAATGTTTTAGGGCATTTATGGATGACTCTTTATCTTCATAAATGTAGAACCTTGAATATTGAAATTCTTGTAATTCTACTTTAGGCATAAATAGAATGAAGGGGTGGATAGAAGATGTTAATTGGTTTAATCTAATTGGCTAAGGTCACCTAGACATGGGGGGGTTAGTCATACTCTTCTAGGGACTAGGCATAGAAACTTGATTAAAAAAATCATACTTTAATCCAAAAAAATGAGCAAGATGGCTCCGACATTAGCAAAAATGTCCAAAAAGATGTTAATGGAGAAAAAAAATAGTTGATTGATATTCCATAAGGGGTAAAAAATGCTCTCAGCCTCACATTTTAAATAAAAAAATATTTCTGACAACGTGTAAGTTAAATTAAAAATAAGTTATTAGATAGATAACGAGAAACAATTAAATCAAAAGAACAAATGGGTTAAAAAAAAATGAAATAGGTGAGAATGCTTTGTGTATTAAAAAGAAAAGAATAAAAAAAATACTGAAAACAGGAGTCACTTCGAGACAAGAAATGAAGATCCTGATATGCGATGAAAATAGTGATGTCAATTCGTATATTACGAATATAGTCTACAAAGTATTGCATGATATATAATCATTCAATTCGAAGTTTATTCTTCTTATATATATATATATATATTCTCTATTTTTAGATTTTTAATTAAAAATCTTCTTTTTGTTAAATAAATTATTACTGTATTCATTTGGTAAGGTGTCGTTGATGTTTGTGTTTTATATTTTCCAATGAAATCATTATACATTTTATAAAAATAAAATATCTAAAAAATTAGTATTTTTTACTTCTCTTGTGTTGTAATCTATCTATCTTCTATATACTATACTAAGGCAAAAACCAGAGAGAGAAATCTAAAGGCATGGAGCACATGCCACATATGATTTAATTCTATGTGGCATTTTCTTAATTTTTTAGATTTAAAAATGCCTAGGGTAAATTTACAATATCATTAAGAAAAAAAATAGATACCCACTATAAAGTAATTGTGGGATATTATTAAAAACAAGTTGAGAGAGATCAAATTTAAATATGCAAATAACTTCAGTGATATGATTGATGTGGTAAAAAAAATGATCCTACCTTAGAATCAACGGAAAAAATGATTCAACCATAGAATGTCATTAAAAATAAGTTTAATGATTTTGATTTAAATTATTGCAAGATATATAATTATTCAATTCAAAGTTAAATGCTTTTTTTTTTCTTTTCTCAACATTCCACATTATGCTGAAAATATCTATATCACATATGTTTTTGTTTATATATTTTATATTTTTCTTTATGAATGAAGCCATTATAAAAAGCTACTATACATTTATAACTAGCATTTTTGTTTTTCATAGAAAACTCATCTAATCATGAATAATTTTATTTTCTCTATATTGATCTATATTGTATTTGGTAGAAATTTTCATCCATTAAATCTCTATTTTATAATTTTCATTTAAGTTTATTTGGCCGTCCGATTAACACTTTTAAATTAACAAATTATTTTATTTGCCACGTCCAGTTTTTAACCATGACCAATTATATGCCGCCTTATCAATAGTCACTTCGAGACAAGGAATCAAGAACCTAATATGCGATGAATGTGGTAAAGTCAATTTAAGACTATGAATTTCGTTCACAGAGAAGTATTGCAGGACATATACTCATTCAATTCAAAGTTAATTATTTTTTCTTTTTTATATTCCCTTTTTTTAGATTTTTTTAATAATTCTCTTTGCATTAAATAAATTATTACCATTTTGTAAAGTATTGTTGATGTTTGTGTTTTATATTTTTCAATGAAATAATTATATAATTTATAATTAACATTTTATAAAAGTACAAAATCCATAGAAATAATGATATTTTTATTACTTTCCTTGTGTTGTAATGTCTATATGTACATGTTCTCCCCGTCCATCAGACGGGTCTAACACCTAGTGTCTATAAGTGTATATCCGTCCATTGGACGGGTCTAACACCAAGTATATTTTTATAAATTACAAACACTTAAATTATTAAACTACTATTGGAAGAAACTTCACGCGTGCATGTCTTTTTCTGTTCATCCATCCGATACTTGAAAGTTCTTTTGATTGTAGCATGGGGTTACCTATGTGAATGTAAATTAGTTATTTATTTCTTAAAATTATCAAAGAAAAATATTTGCAAAAGAGGAAAAAAAACAAAAGTTTATATTATTTGCTAATGTTTTCTTTTTCCCCCCATTGAACCGGGTTCGTTAAACCCCTGCCCCCTTCATTTGCAGTTTTCAAATAATTCCTAAAACCCTAGCAATATACCGCCATATCCCACCGTGTAATAATTCATCATCCCCTTCCCTCCCGTCCCGGCAGCTTCGAACAGAAAAATTCACAGAGTTTCATCGCCAATTCTGTGAAGAAGTCTTGAGGAGAAAAAGAAAATGAGGAAGAAAGTGGACGAGCGCATCAGAACTCTCATTGAGAACGGCGTTAAAACTCGCCATCGCTCCATGTTCGTCATCATTGGGGATAAATCACGTGACCAGGTATGCTTTTTCTCTTATTGCATCGCTGCAAACGAATTTTGATTCTTTTACGGTTTTGGCTTTGAATTGATTGAACCGTGATGTAATGTAATTCCTTTATTTATTTATTTTTGTTTTGTTTCTGGTTTGTTGATTGGACAATTAGATTGTGAATTTGCACTATATGCTAAGTAAAGCGGTGGTGAAAACGCGGCCGACTGTACTTTGGTGTTATAAAGACAAGCTGGAACTCAGCAGGTTTGGTTTCTTTTTTAAATATTTAATCTACTGTTTGTTGTTCCTTCTTTTTGTTTCTTTTTTCTTTTTTCTGCTGCCGTTTCAATTTTGGGACTTTGTTAAAGTTTCAGATTGGAACGAGACTGGGCTGTAGTCAGATTTTGAAGCTGCGGAGAAAACAATTTTGCAGTGATTTCACCGCTTTAGTTGCAAATGTGATGAGAGATTTAAGTATTTTCTCTTAGGATTGGTTTTAGGAGAATGATGTTCAATATGTAAGCTCGCTATAAACATTTTGGAAAAGAAAGTAAAAGGTGCCATAGGAATTTTAAGGAGGAAAGAGAAAGGAAAAGATGGGAATTTTAAGGATTGATTTAAATATTTGTGTTCTTCTCCTATTTGCCCCTTGGTTATTGCTTTGTATTTGTTGGGGATGGGTGTTTTCTCCCAAGAGGCTCACTTGGTTGTCAATGAGGATAGCGTGATGCTTGTATAGTCCATTTGTTTTCTTTCTCATGCGAACTTAGATAATTCTATAAAGTTTGAATAGATGTAGTTAATGGGCTTTGATTTATAGTGTTTGTGAATCATTAGTAATCCAGTGGCATTCCTCTATTCATCTTCCCTGGGGATTTCTCATATGGGGTGTGCCAAATATCATGTCAATGTATACATCTGAAGTGGAATTGTGAATTTATGATTAATTAGCAAACGCTTTTAGTTGATACTTACTGTATTGAGTTGATTCTTGACCTGTTCCTCCTAGTCACAAGAAAAAGCGAGCCAAGCAAGTGAAGAAATTGATGCAAAGGGGATTGCTAGATCCAGAGAAAGTTGACCCCTTTTCCCTATTCGTTGAAACTGGCGGAATCACGTATTGCTTGTACAAAGATTCTGAAAGGATTTTGGGAAATACATTTGGCATGTGCATATTACAGGTATAGTGTTATCTCTTCCTGCACTTGATCAAGTCTCTTGCTTCTTTTTTTTTTCCCTATGCTATGTGGTGGTATCTTATCATTTTTCCACCGTCCTTATTTTTTATGGGATATTGCGTCTAGGATTTTGAGGCTTTGACACCAAACCTTCTAGCTAGGACCATAGAGACAGTTGAAGGTGGAGGACTGATTGTGTTGCTGCTCCGCTCTCTGTCTTCTCTTACCAGTCTCTACACGATGGTTATGGTATGGCAACCGATTACAAGTTAAACCATACTAGTTTTTGTTGAAATGCCATTTTTATAGTGCTATTCTTATTTAAATTATGCATTTTTTTGGCTTCAAGCTTAAGATTTTTCAAAATGGTGTTACTTAAGTTTTTCGCTTTCTATTGGGCATTTTTTCTGACTAGAAAACGTGTTGAAATTTTTTTTCTTTTTTTCTTTTCCCCTTGTTGTTCAGCCTTTTTCTCCATTTTCTTTATTTTCTATTATATTTCAGTGCCACTGTTGATTGAAAAGATGCCTCTCTACAAAAAAATTTCATACGAAGTCTCTTAGGAGTAAAAGGGTTTATTGAAGTTGTTATTGTTGCTGTCTTGTTATGGACTAGTGAGTTAGTTGTATGTGTTACTAATGTTAGGTGTGTTTCAACTTGCAGGATGTCCATGAAAGGTTCCGTACTGAGTCTCATTCACAGGCCACTGGTCGATTCAATGAACGCTTCTTACTTTCAATTGCTTCGAACAGAGCATGCGTTGTCATGGATGATGAATTAAATATCTTACCTATTTCTTCACACATGAAGTCAATAGCCCCAGTGCAAGTACAAGAGGTAGATTTCATGTTTCTTGAACTTTGTTGGTGACTTAGAGTGTTATTTTTAAGGATACTAGATCCCCCCTTTCTGATATCTGTTTACCTTTTATGATGTCCTAACTTCTCCAGGTATTTTTTTGGGGTTTATTAGTTACGGCATTTAAATGTACAATTAAAGAATGGGAGCATATGCAACATCTGCCTGTCATTTTTTTTTTAATTATTTAAAAGTTTTAGAGTGAAGGTGATCCACAATTTTTTTTACAGCAGTCTGTATTGAGTGTGTTTTTCTGTGGTGGGGATCACAGGACTCTGAAGGGCTCTCAGAGGCAGAAAGGAAGTTGAAGAGTCTTAAAGAAGAATTGAGTGGTGATTTTCCCGTTGGTCCTCTAATCAAGAAGTGCTGTACACTGGATCAAGTATGTTTTTAGCTTTATTTTCCTCTGTTCCTCTATTCTTGTGGTGAGATGATTCACCTTGCACTTATTTTCAAACAATTCAGGGAAAGGCTGTTATTACATTTCTTGATTCAGTACTGGACAAGACACTTCAAAGCACAGTTGCTTTGATTGCCGCTCGTGGTCGTGGAAAGTCTGCCGCCCTCGGTCTGGCAATTGCAGGAGCTGTTGCCGCAGGGTAATTTAGTTGGCTGGATATCATTATCTTATTAAGTTTCCTTCTCTTGACTCGTTTCATATTTTTTATTTTCTTGGTTGCTGTTAAACTACTGTATTTTTCGATCCTATAACTCCATCTTTCCTTACAGGTATTCCAATATTTTTGTGACCGCACCAAGTCCTGATAATTTGAAAACCCTTTTTCAGTTTGTATGTAAAGGTTTCGAGGCCCTCGATTATAAGGTAAAGCTGTTTCCACATACCCAACCCCACATGGTGAGATAATGGGTAAAATCTTGTTGTTGTGTTGGTGGGTCATAAGTATTACTATGTTTGATCGACTGAAGAATATCAGTACAAAAAAACGTATCCAATTATTGGGCAGTCTGCTGAGTTCACATTCTCTGCTTCGGGAACACAATGATTCAGATAAAGCAATTTCGGCGAGACAATTGCTTTTTTCTGTTTTGTTTCTATAAATGAACATTAATGTTTCAGGGTAAAATGAACCTTCAATTATTAGATGGATGTAAGCCTGTAACCATGTTCTCTTTTTGAGCTTTATTGTTTCAAATTTCTGTCGTAGTCATCTCTTATAATGATCCCCAACTCAGCTACCTCTATTGCTTCTTGCTGTCTGAAGCAAGGTTAATTCCTTGGCTAGATGTTTCAGACATGTAGAATATGAGCTTGATTACAGTGATAAAATCTTTTTGGTTTTATTTGCATTTACTCAAAATCCTGCTTGCTTTAGTTGCTTCTGTTAGGGTGTTCATCACTTTCACCATTGGACCATTAGGTAGCCCCTGTTTTCTGACCTTTTGCATTTGCCATCTATTATATAGTTTTCATATTAGGCAAAGTGTCACCTTTTGGTTGGGCAGAAAGCTTGCTAATCACTGGATCAGTGGATCATCCTGTCAATTGTTGAACACTATGCCCATTTCCTGGTTCTAATTTCCTGATTTAGGTCTTCCCTTATTTTATCGCTCTCGGAGCCTTCAAGGAATTATGAATGTTGTCTTTTTTCATAAAACTTGGGGGCTAACTGTAGTCTCCGCAAATCTCAAGGGAAGCCAATGTAAGTAACCCTAGAAACAAAATGGTTCATGCACACATATCAGTTGTTTCAGGTTATCTTTGTGAATTTCTAATACTAAACTAGTCGTTGGTTGAAGCCAACGGCTCTGCGAATTGGAATTTGGAGTTCTCCTGTCACTTGAAATGTTGATTGTCATGATTTCTTAACTCAAGTAGATGTATTCTTCAGAATTGTGTGAGGAACTTGTCTTGACAAACCACCGATACAATATTAAGTATCTTTGCAAAATGTCTCGGAAAGTATCTTTTGACAAGTATCTTAGTTCCTAAGTAATAGTCCTCCTCGCCACAACTGATGTCATGTTCTTTATAACTCTTACCTTCCCAAGTAAGCTTAGCATACAGCACTCGAGTGGAGAATGATGTTTGTTACTCTTTTGCAGGAGCATTTAGATTATGACGTAGTCAAAAGCACAATTCCTGAATACAAAAAAGCAACTGTGCGGATTAATATCTACAAACAGCATCGACAAACAATTCAGGTTATTTAAAAATGCTGCTGCATATTATGTTGGGTTTCAGACCATATTCTTTTCTGGCTTTTTCATTCTAATTTATTTTTGGACATAATGCTGCCATGGTTAACAATTTCCTTGTATATCTGTTTCACCGCTTCTGTTTGTTCATTTTGTTGTGACTGTGAGATGTAATGGGCTTAACTTTTTGTCAAATTCTCTTTATTTGCAGTATATACATCCGCATGAGCATGAAAAGCTTTCCCAGGTCGAGTTGCTGGTGGTTGACGAAGCAGCTGCTATTCCACTGCCAGTTGTTAAATCTTTGCTTGGTCCATACCTTGTTTTCCTTTCATCTACTGTGAATGGGTCGGCCAGCTTCTTAATTTAATCTTTGATGTCAAGGATACTGTGTTAAACTTTTTGAGATGATTTCCTAGTCTCTGCATATCTTATTAGTGCCTTTGCTTATGCCCTCTTTAGATATGAGTGCAGCAACATGTTAAAATGTCAAATTCCTGATATGAGATTTTGTTTACTTTTTGGCTTCCGGTTGGCCCATGATTTCCAGTTATGAAGGTACTGGGCGTTCTCTATCATTAAAGCTGCTGCAGCAGCTAGAGGATCAAAGTCATCCATCTTCTAAAAATGTCGAGGGTGCTCTTTCAGGTACCTTCTTGCATATTAGCTTTTGCTGTTGGCTCGTCAACTTATTCTGAGGTTGAGCAAGTGTAGGCGGTATTTGACCTCTCTTATGGGGTTTAGGGATAGTTGTCTGGATTTAAGTGATTCCTTGCAATGCCAGCTCTGCATAATGAATAGTCATCATGCTGCTGGAGGTGTATTGTGGTAATTAAACTGGCAATTTGAGTTGGCGCAGAGACTAGTGATTTAAATGCCTAACTTCAATCCCCTCCCTTTTCCATGGTTAGAGTACATGACTCCCTGGATCCTGGAGAATTTTAAGTGTCCTTATTATTCGATTCTCTCAACAACAGTTGTGTTACAGCAGAAGTTTCAACCAGGTCTCAAGTTGTAGAGACGGTTAAAATTATATTCTAAATACTAGCTATAAATTATAGAAGCCGATGATTGTATCACAAGTGTTTCTTATGAAGTCCTATCACATGCATTAGAGAGCACATTGGCCAGCAGGATAAATAATAACCAAATGTTTTAGGCCAAACCAAAAGAAATTGAAGTGAAGCCTTTTTGTTTTGTTTTATAGAATCTTTGAGTGGTGTCCTTTCTTGCCTCTCGGTAAAGTTCATGAAACATGGCTTTGTGTCTTGTTTCTGATTAAGACATGATTAACTTTGTTTTGTCTTTACGGGACACATCGCCAATGTAAATCTTCTGTTAAACCTTTGATCCAGGAACCACCACTGTTCACGGTTGAGCTCTATAGAATAATTTTATATTGATTTTCCAATGGCTTCGGCATCCATAACGGCCATTACTCCTGAAATAACGTATGAGAATTAAAAGATCCAATTATCAACAGTGGTCAGAGCTATTAAGGTTTATCTGCTACGTTCAGGATATAGTTTTACCACAACAACACTCATCTGTTTACAATACATTCAACTCATGTGGATTTGAGTGGATGGCCAGATTTTTGGTGCACTAGGGCATTCCATCATGCCGTGAATTGCTTACATTTGTTTCTATTTGAAGACTACTAAGGGAGAGCTTTGGGATTATGTGTAATTGCTGAGGTAATCGCTCATGTATGTATGATGTCTCAGTAGTGTGTACCAGTCACAGGATGCTATTAAGTTAGAAATTGAATACTTTTCAGACTTCATACAGGTTTTAAGAATAGCTGGAAAAGTGTCTCACGAAGTTCTTTGATTTCTTATCAGTCAACAATTTGGTGTAGGCAGAGTTACAAAAGGATCGTAAAACAGATCAGGGGCATATCATGGCTATTGCACATTTGGCTAAATTAAGGATGAGAAGTGTCTCTAATTAGTAAACTAGGGAGAGCCTCGACTTTTGAGTATTATATGGTCTATTGTCTTTGATTGGAATATGCTATAAAAAAGCATGAAAAATGATTGTTAAATGTTTGGGATCCTCTTTTCAAAAAAATAAAATAAAAATAAAATTAAATAAAAATATTTAGGATCTGAGTCAATAATGTGTGTTTGTTTTGACCGATACCCTTTAAGACTTGCTTTATTCATGTGTTGACCTTTGGGAAAGTTTTTGCTTGGTTGTATCCTGTATTGAGTATTGTTTGCAATTGTAAGACAAAATCAGGACCAGAAGGAAAGTATTCATTCACTAATGATTGGGCAGATATGGCAGCCTGTCTCTTTTATTATTTATTTATTTTTTTCCCAATGAGCAATCACCTGGAGTATTTCCTGTAATTTAGTATCAGGAAGATCCAAGTTTTCATCGTCATCATGGCAAATAACTTGCCCGACATGAATACGCATATTTATCCACTCAACTGTGAAGAATATTAATTTTGAAAATGAACTGTCCTCATATAGTATGTAAACAAAATATTGGATTGTATTTGGCTGGTCAAAGTAGGTAAAGTTGATTATTGAAAACATTTTCCATGGTTTTTGAAGTATAATAAGGAGTTGATGGAAACTGGCTATAGTGCACTGGACATAAGTTCCATTTTAGAGGATTCTCGGTTGTGAAAACCATTGTTCAGTTGAGCAAGGATACAAAATATTTCCTTGGAAGTTACCATGTATGGGACACTTTTCGTCATCATATTGTAAAATTTGTAATCTGTCCTTGGCAACTGTTGGTTAGATAACTACTGTTGTTTGACTTCTCATGCTTCTGTAAATTTTTATTGCTTTTGTTGGTTCTTTCCTGCTACCTAATACTGAATAAACTGATGAGATTGAATCATAAGATCTTATTTGTCATTCTTTGTTTGTTTATTTGCTCATCCATTGATGCTCTCAACGTAGGCCGCCTTTTCAAAAAGGTAGAACTAAGCGAATCTATCAGATATGCTTCCGGTGATCCAATCGAATCATGGCTTCATGCTTTACTATGTTTGGATGCAACAAACTCCGTCCCCAGTATCAATAGGTCTGTATGTGGCGAGATTACATGATTGTTTATAACTATTATCATTTGGTTTAGTCATCCTTCATCCACTTAATGATTTTGTCCCCCTCCCCTTTCTATCTCTTTCTTTTTATTAAGGTTGCCCCCACCAAATGAGTGTGATCTTTACTATGTTAATCGAGATACACTTTTTTCCTACCATAAAGACAGCGAATTATTTTTGCAGGTAGTCATTTTTACATTCAAATTTTATTTGATTTCTGTTTCTACTCAATATGAATGACTACAACTGGTTTCTGCAGAGAATGATGGCACTATATGTTGCTTCTCACTATAAGAATTCTCCTAATGATCTACAACTAATGGCAGATGCCCCAGCTCACCACTTGTTTGTGCTACTTGGTATGCCTGATCTTAATGGATCCTTAAGTTGTTTTCTGATTGTTGGGTACTAATATGTTCCTTTCTTCCAGGTCCTGTTGATGAGTCAAAAAATCGCCTTCCTGACATTCTATGTGTTATCCAGGTCAACATCTTTACTATCTGGTGGTCTTAGTGTGCAATTTGTTTAAAAATAAGTTCCTAACATGATTGGCTTCATGTCTTTCTATTCTGAGGTCTTTTTTTTTTGTATTTTTTATTTTTTATTTTTACGATTGTATCTTTGCTTGAGGGAGCTGCTTTCACCGTTGTTTCGTTAAATCTCCATGAGTTGATGAAACCAATGATTTGAAAAGGCTATAGATAAAAGTGCAAAATGATTGTGTAGGTGGCACTTGAAGGTCAAATTTCTCGTAAATCTGCTATTAAAAGTCTCAGTGATGGTAATCAGCCATCTGGTGACCAGATACCATGGAAATTTTGTCAGCAGTTTCAAGATACGGTTTTCCCGAGCCTTTCAGGGATTCGGATTGTTCGCATTGCAACTCATCCAAGTGCAATGAGGGTAATTTCTCATGATTCTGATTGAACTTCCTAAGTTAGAATATGTTTTCTCCATGTCCTATGTTAATTTATGCTGTGATTGCAGCTTGGATATGGATCTGCTGCAGTTGAACTTTTAACAAGGTACCTTCACCTAAAGTTTTTGTCTTTTTCTCTGTAATTTTGTAGATGTTCAATAGTTTTCTTGTTGACGACTGTGAGTCAGTAACAGTGGTTTAATAGTCCAAGCTGGTGTTCCCAACAAAGTAAATTGGTTCACGAAACATCGGGAATGAATTACTGTGTGATATAGTGAAGATCTGATTGGTATCAAAGGTTCCGGTGCCAATGGAACACTTACTTAGCAATGTAGGTCTCATCAATGTACTTTTCCAGACCTACCAGTTACAGTTTTGCTATTTAAGGACATTAGTGCTTTTGTAAAAATCAGTTACACCCCTTACAGTTTCAGATTGAATTCCTGTCAAAATTTGAAGCTGAATGACTAGCGTCAAAGTCTTATATGAACTACTTGCTTGGAATCACAGAATTTGTGTTTTTTTTTTTTTTTTATGGGAATGGAGCAATTTTTTTGTTGTATCCTTAGCATTTTACATTTTCACGATTTAAGCTCTTTTTTTAATGGGTATTATTTCTTGAGAAGCCGCTGAACTTGTATTCTCTGAAAGTCTTTCATCCAAGACTATTTGCTTGTACTTTCACAATATAAAATTTCAATGTCAAAGTATCTATTCGATCTAAGATCTTGATTGGATGTTCTTGTCAAACTGGAATACACAATATCCACTTGATGAAGCAGGTTTTACACTATTGACAAAAGGTTTTTATTCCCAAATCTAATGGTTAATATTTAACATGATAGGTACTTTGAGGGACAAATGACTCCAATTTCTGAAGTGGATGTGGAAGATGACCTTGAAGTTCCGCAAGTCAGGGTTACCGAGGCTGCCGAGAAGGTACATTTTCTTCCCATGAAACAAATGTGAACAAAAATCATTAATTTGAGGTTTAAGTTGTAGGCTCATATCTTCATTCCTGTCAAGTATTAGAATGTCAGCTGCTGTTGATGGTTTTTGCACTTGAGTAATTTTTACAAGCTTTACTTCTCACGATATCCACCTAACTACTACTGTCAAGCAAGAAAACATTATAGAATTCTGTAACTTAAAGTAGCTTAGTATAAAGGACCATGTTACAAGACTTTGCTGCTTCTTTTTTTCGTATGTGTATGCGTGTTGGTTTGTGTTTTTTTTTTGTTTTTTTTTTGCCGGGGGGGGGTGGGGCGAATGCGGAAATGACAAGATTGTATCTGCCTGGTTCTTTCTTATTTATTTTTGTAATGGTTATAACTCCGTTGGTGTACAATTGCAGGCCTCTTTGCTAGAAGAAAATATAAAACCTAGGGTGGATCTGCCGCCTCTGCTTGTGCATCTTCGTGATCGAAGGCCTGAGAAGCTTCATTATATTGGTGTGTCTTTTGGTCTCACCCAGGATCTTTTTCGATTCTGGAGGAAACATAAATTTGGTCCATTCTACATTGGACATATTCCAGTTGAGTTTCCCAACTGGTGTCATTCAAATTTGCTTAAGTTTTCTGTTTTTTTCTTGTTCTTTTCGTGTGGATTCAAAATTGATTTGCTTTCTTAACGGGGGAAAAAGGTTATTTGATGAGTTAATTATTTCTGCGATTCAGAGTAGTGTAACTGGTGAGCACACATGTATGGTCCTGAGGCCATTGAATAATGATGACATAGAAGCAGCTGGATCAGATGATTGGGGCTTTTTTGGCCCCTTTTACCAAGGTGAGTGAAGTGATTATTTGAGCAGGAGTTTCCCCTTCTTTCTAGAAGTTTATATTTAGTGATTATGGCTGCGACTGTCTCAGATTACAGGCGGAGGTTCACCGAACTTCTGGGTTATAGCTTCCATTCTATGGAGTACAAGCTTGCCATGAGGTCTGCACTTGAAAGTTTGGTTTTATTTTTTTGCTTGTATCATCAAAAAGTATGCTTACACTTTCTTTGCTTCTGCAGCATCTTAGATCCAAGAGTTAACTTCAATGATGATGACCCTTCTTCAAATGATTATTTGAAATCAACTAGTGAAATTGTTACGCCACATGATATGAAGAGGTTGGAAGCTTATACAAATAATCTTGCTGATTTTCATATGGTAAGATCTTGAGCTGCTGACTAGTCAAGTATTGTATCAGAGGCTTCCTTGTATCGTAACATTTTTCAAACTTTTGCTGATTTGATTAGGAACTGCAATGGCTCTTTTTCTCTCTCTCTTCTTTTTTTTTTGGTAGCTTTGAGAATCTTCCTGAATGTTTATGCATGTTGCTGTAAACTTTTGCAGATTCTAGATATTGTTCCAAAACTTGCTCGTCTATATTACCTGGAGAAGCTTCCTGTTACATTATCGTATGCCCAGGCGTCTGTTTTGCTCTGCATGGGTTTGCAGAGAAAGGACATATCTGCAATCGAGGTTAGCTTCTTTCTTGAAACAAACAACATATACGCTTCCCTTAGTGATTTCATTTATGACGAAAATGGATTTGTACAAAGGTTGAAAATCATCAAGTACCCGCGCTGATACGTGCACCTTATTATATTTACACGCTTTTCTTACTTGGAACTGCTGTTAACCAGATCATCCAGATTTCATGGATGGCTACATGTATCAATTTGGAGAGCCTTAATGAATGAATTACCTATTAGGATCTTGTTCTCTTCACTTCCATATATGTTGCCAAAAAGTTCATTTTGATGTTACATAGTAATTTGAATTTAGCCAACAGGATGCTGCTGTATTTCTGGGATCGGACTTTTAGTTCACCTTTTATATGTATAGCTGAACATGACTTTCTTAGTACACAGTGATTTGTCTTTTTATCTTTCAACGGTTCCAATTTTTCCATTTGATAAGTCGAGGGAATAGTATTAAAATATGAACTAGGATATTTCGAGATGCATACTACTATTGTACTCATTATGTCATACCTGCTGGTTTTCAGGGAGAGATGAAATTGGAAAGGCAGCAGATATTATCTTTGTTCATAAAAGTAATGAAGAAGTTCTATAAATTTCTATATAATGTTGCTTCTAAGGACATTGAGTCCACCTTACCTCGTCTGAAGGAAGTAAGTCTTGATGTAAAGTGGTTTTTTTTTTTGTACTTTATATTTTGTTGCCCAGTGGATGGTTATAGGCTTTGTTGTTCTTATTGTTGTTCTTTAGGGTACACAGTCTTATAAACTTCTGAGTAATGGAAAACAAAAGGTACAGGAAAACTGGAAAAAGTGGATAAAAGGCCTTCTTGAGTCAGGGCAATAGCTCAAGTTTCTCAGGATTATTTTGGTTTCAGTGACTCGTATTTTTCGCTTTCAGTGTCCTCTTTTTCCAATCCCTAGTGTCCCTGGCTATCTTTGTTGAATATTTAGATGCTGGTAGTTTCAGAAATACAGAGGTTTGTGAAAGAAATTTTGAGGAAATTTCACTTGGATTGTCCACAAAATGATTTTTTTCTCATACTTTGATTGGCTTAAGTGATAGAATCATTTAAACTTGCACTGTCACTGATATTGTAAAAGAGTTTAATAATAGGTGTGAGATCTTTTGGATTGCATATGCATAAAAGAATCGGAAATGTAGTCTCTAGTGGTTATGTGTTTCGTCAATTATTATTGGGTGCCTATATGCCATTCTACCAGTGGTAGGTTACTGCTGGCCCACTGGTGATTCTTTTTTTATTTACTTTGTACCTAGTTGCAGTTTAAACTCACAATTGATCATGTCTAATACTTGTTTCAGATTCCGTTGGAGCCTCATAGTATAACAGTGGAGGAAGATCTTGAGGAAGGCGCAAGGAAAGTTCAGGTTTGCAGATTTCCTTAAACTTTACATCATACGTGTCTTTTTTGAGAACACCTTTTCTGATATGAGAGGTTGTATCTAGGAGGAAATGAATGCCAAGGCTGGTGGCTTGTTAGATCCGGAGCGCCTTCAGCAGTATGCCATTGTCGACAGAGAAGCTGATCTCGAGCAAGCATTGCGGAGTAGTGGTGGGAAGGTGCGACCTGGTGGTTTGATTAGTGTTAAGTCCAACAGAGACAAGAATACCAAACATGGCAAGAAGAATGAGGACCAAACGAGTGGGAAGAAAAGAATTAAGGAAGATCGTGGATCGAAATCAAACAAGAAGAGAAAGGCTTGATCGAAATTAAATAGCATCCATTCTTTTTTTATTTTCTATTTCCTTCTGTTGCATTTTTCCTCTTTCTCCCTGGTAATTTTTACTTTTCGGGCACATCACTGTCTTGTCATTTTGTAGCATTACTTGATTATGTTATTATCATTATTTTTTAAGGCAACATCTAAAGTGCCTTTGGCCATTTTTACGGAATCGTCCCGTTCAACCAATCAAAATTGAGGGTATAAGATTTAACCATGTGGTGAATAACACTCTATAATATCATAAATTAATTGAGAATATGATCACTTTTACCCAAAACATGAAGTTTTTGGCCAATTTGACCCAAAATATTCTTAAGAAATCAAATTCATCATCTAAATTTTAATTTATTGTCAATTTAATCCAAATTGATGACAATTCTGTTAGATTTACTATTTTCATTGATATTTCGTTATTTCATCTCTAGTATTTTATTATTCAGTAACATATGCTTATCTTACTATTTACGTTTCCACCACATAATTTATCTCCTAATCTAATTCATGCTCCCACCCTAAGCCTCCTCTTTTTCTTCCTCTTTTACTTATTTTTCGCTGCCGCATCACAACCGTCCCTTTCCTCTTCTCTCCTAAAAATAACCATCACCACTTCATAAATCTGCGAGGATTTCAAACTATCACTACAAACATAAAAATTTGTTCCCACCAACAGTACACAATCCTCCCTCCATCACTATCCGCATTTCTGTCACCGCCACTTTTCTTCAATTCCACAAAAATACAAAATATTTTACTTAATTTTCCTTTTTTTTTTCCCTTCTTCTTTCTAAAAAATTGTACAAAGTAACGGAAAAGGAAAAATAGAGGTTACACCATTTTGATCCCGTCATCAATTTTGCTCTATTGATTTTCGATTAGCCAATTTTGTCCTTTATATTTAAAATTTTTGTCAATTTCATCCAATTGGTCAAATTTCTGTTAAACTTAACGGATCTCCATTAGTTTTTAACAAAAATACCATAATAGTTTCAAACTATTATAAAGATAACTCACAAAATATTTTTTGAGTTATCCGGAACCTGAACGTCGTTTTCATCCTTTTTCTTGCTTAAAAAAAATGTAAAAATAACAAAATATCCCTTTTTCACTTATATTCATTTTAATCTATTTCATTTTATTTCTATTTACTACTTTTCATAACCATCAAAATATACTATATGATCTTTAAAAAATAATTATTCATTTCAACAATATTTTTCATGTGCAACACACTTGAGTTGGGTTTAGAGGTAATTTTGTCTTTTTATATTTTTTTTTAAAAAAATTTATTTGTTTTATTTTATTTTTTTAACAATTTTCTTCTTATACTCTCTGACTTGTATATTTTGGCACTAGTATAATTACTATATTTCAAGAAAAAAAAATTACCTTTTGTATTTCAATTTCGTGGTTTAAAAAAGTAATTAAAAATATGTTGTTAAAAGATATACGTATTTATCTTTGTCATGAAATTCAACGATTGCTTATATAGTTTAGCCATCAGCAAAGTAACAATAACAATTACTAAAAAAGAATAAAAATTGTGTTAACCAAATTTAAAATAATTCATCGTCGTGGACTAAATAAATTAGAACTTTATTTTATTTCAAATGATTATCTAATTTTATATTATTTTTACTATCACAAACAAAATAATCATTTTAGACTATATCGAATAAAATTATATTTCGTAACTTACCTATGAATTACAAGAAGTGAAGGAGGAAAGACTTGTCTTAGCAGTTTTGTTTTTTTTTTTTTAGATTTTTTTTTGGTTTAGAATGATAACCTATTAATTTTGGTATTTATTTCAACTCGATTTTTTCTTCCTTATTTTCTTTATTTTTTAAATTTTTTAATAATCTATGAAATAAAAGGTAAATTAATTAATGAAATTTAGTAGTTATACTAGTAGCAACAGATACAAGTTAGGAAGTATAAGAAAAAGAATAACAAATAACAAAAAATAAAAAAATTAATTAAAAATTTTAAAAATATGACAAAATTACTTCTGAACCAAACTCACATGTTTGCACATGAAAAATAGAGTTTGAAAATAAATAATTATTATTTTAAAGATCTTATAATATATTTTGATGGTTATAAAAAGTAGTAAAGGGAAATAAAATGAAATAGAAATAAATAAATAAATAATGAAAAGAGATTATTTTGTTAATTCTACATATTTTTGGGTTATTTTTATAATTTTTTGATACTATTGAGATATATTTTTGTTAAAAATTAACTGAAATTCCATAAGTTTAACGGAAACTGGGCCAATTGGATGAAACTGGTAAAAATTCAAACGTAAAGGACAAAATTGGCTAACCAAAAATCAATGGGGTAAAATTAACGACGCGGTTAAATTTTTGGGTACAACCGTCATTTTATCTGTAACGGAATGCCAGCGGAGGTGTTAAATCTAATGGAATTTTTGTCAATTAGATGAAATTGGCCAGAAATTGAAACTTAGATAATGAATTTGGCTTCCCAAAAATCTTTTTGGGTCAAATTGTGTAAACACTTGAAGCTTTGGGCAAAATCGACCAATTTCTCTAATTTTTTCAGTTTAATCAGGTGTGTTTAGATATATTTACCTATGATGGACCCTCATTTTAATCTTACGGTTGTTAATTAACTTATTTAATTCTACGATTATTATGTTAAAACGGAACCGTCCCGGGACTCTTGCCGCTCCCATTTTTTAATGTCAATTTTATCGTGAATAATCTCAAATGAAAAGTTTTCTCCTTATTGAGGACATTGATAAAAATGATCCCTCTCCAATTAAAATTTTTGGACAAGGTTTTTGAGATACCTCCATGGTAAAATTCACCATTTCTTACTAAAGATTGTCTTTATGGAGTCAAATCTTTATTTCTCTCGTCCTTTTTTTATCTCTCCAATTTACCTGTCGAGATACGAATCTCCCTCAAAAAATTTTCAGTTCTGTCCCTTCAAAATAAATTAGTGCAATCTTCACTGTTGTTGGATAGTTTCACTCTTTTATCATTTTCTTATGTCAGGAGCAAAGGCGTCCATTCGAATGGTAAAAAAAGTATCATCGGAGAATCGATTTTTTCTTTCTTTCGTCTTCTTTTATTCCTTTAGTTTTAATTTAGTAAGGTTTCCATATCCTTTTGTGTTTTTAACTTCATCGAAATTGCTTCTACGGTGTGATAATTTGCTGTTATTTTTTTCTCCTCTAATGTTGAAAATCAATGTTTTAGTATATTTTGTCATTCTTTTTCTCTTGTTCATATTAACTAATATTGTTAATTTTCTCGTCTAAAATGAAATATGCGGTATTACTATTACAAAAGTCATGATTCAGATCTTAATTTTATTTTCCGATACTTTCATAAATTAATTTATAATAATATTTAGATATTATTATTCAACAATATTATTTTAAAATATATGTTATGGAATTAATACTAGCATTTTTGCCAAACATTTTACTGGGCCTCAAAAGAGCTTTGCATGGTCTTCCATGCTACTTATAGTAGTGTGGCCTGGTCGCGCAATGGGTGATAAACACTCATCGTTGAACACTATATTTCCTTTTTTTGAAGATAAGGTATGTGGTGATTTCAAATTATTATAGAACTAGATGTTAAACCCGCACGATGTGCAAGGTTAATTCATTACATTTATGGAAAAAAATATTTATTAAATTTTAAATACACTAAATATAAATGAAGTTATTAATTTGTAATAAAATTGTTGTTACAAATAAAAAAATTGCATATAATAGTTATTAGTATAACTATAATAACTATTATATAAGCAAAAGCAAATAAAACCATTAACAAAATTTAATAATTTAAAATAATGCATGTCATATAAAATGACATTCTTTTATATCCACAGGGGAAAACAGCAATTATATAAGAGTATAAGTATCCACAATAGTGATAAATAATTTGTAAATAACCACTTTATTATACTATTTATCATAAAACCATTACATATAATAGTTATTAGTATAACTATTATATAACCAAAAGCAAATAAGACCATAAAGAAATTAATTATTTAAAATAATGCATGTCATACAAAATGACATTCTTTTATATCCACACGGGAACACAGCAATTATATAAGAGTATAAGTATCCACAATAGTGGTAAATAATATGTAAATAATCAGTTTATTATACTATTTATCATTGTTTTGAGTGAGATAATATTAGACAATGTAAGAATTCTTACATTGTAAAATACACTTTTTGGGTAAAATATAATTAATATGAATTTATGAGGATACTAAAACCATTTTATTTTATTATGCTTTTAAAGTGTAGACCAATATAATGAAAAGTTGAGTAAAAGTATAGTATTGAAAATTAGTGATATTATAATCACAATAATGTAACTATTATGGATACTCAAATAGTCTATAGATACAACAAAAAAGGATTTTCGCCCGCCACAAGACCCTAACCATCAAGGGGATGCTTAAACCCCTTAAACCCTAAATGTTGGGGGGAAGAAAAATACGGTTTGAATATAAGCATTTAAATTAGGTTAGAGTCTCGTAACCTTATCAAAATACTTAAATTCAAAAGTTGATTTTTGCCCCCCGCTAGGCCCTAACCATCAAGGGGTTGCTTAAACCCCGTAGATCCTAATCTCTAAAGACCCGGAGGATAAAAATACGGTTTGAATTTAATCATCTAAATTAAGTTCGAGTCTAACCTATCAAAATGCTTGAGTTCAAAAGTGCATTTGTGCCCGTCACTATACCCTAACTGTCAAGGAGTGCTTAAACCCCCTAAACCCTAAACGCCGGTGGAAAACTACAGTTTGAATTTAAGTATTTTAAATCCTAAACTTGAATATACTTTTATGTTTCAGCAGCATAATTACAAAGTCCCTCTTGTAATGTTTTGATGTTCCAGTAGTACAATTTCAATATAATTACAAAGTAGACACATTAAAAAATTAAGATGTAGCTCGTTCGATAGATCTCGTCGAGTATTTTAACATATTTCATAATTGTTTAATGGATCAATAGATAAATCATTTTAAAATTTTGGATGTTTTTAAAATTTTATGTTTATATTTGCAAAAAAAACCCTCATAAAAAATAAAAATACCAAAAACCCCAAAAAAATTATCAAAAATTGAGTGAATTCCTGTGTAGTCCCAAAAATTAGACAAATGTCCAACGTTGAAGAGGGGATCCACCAGTCCTTCTATTGAACCGGGACCATGGAAGAATTTGTGTTGAGTTTATGAAAAAAGAAGAAGGAAAAATAGTATTACTCTAATAAGAAATTTTGAAGATAGATTAAGAGAAAATAAGAAATAAATTCTAAAGTTATTTTTAGTAATAAAAATTAAGATAAATTGAAGAAGAATGATTTGGGAATATGTACAATTTAATTAATATATATATATATGTGTGTGTGTGTGTGTGTGTGTGTGTGTGGAGTCATATTTGTCAAGGAACAAATGGCAAAATGCGAGTTAAATCTCTAAATTTTGTTTTACTTCTAAAATAATACACTCTCTGTCCCAGAAATAGTCAATATTGAATTTTTGAGTTTGTACAAAAATTATCATAAACATCAAAATTTAATATAGACTTTTTTTTTTTGAGACAGAACAAGTATTATATTGTGCATTTAAATTGTGCAAAAAAGAAAACAATTAAATTTTATTTCAAAAAAAAAAAAAAGAAAGTAAATACAATTTAAAATGAACCCCCCCAAAAAAACACAATTTAGTTTAATTGTGAAAAATTCTCAGTTTTCAATCGATCCGTCGAACTCAACCCGACTCCTCTGCATTTCCATTTCCCGAATTCATCATCTGGGTTGCTTGGATTTGAATTTGAAATCGTACCCGATTAGATTAAGAATTCTTTGCTTCGGATTTTTAGTAAAACAGGGCTCATGAACAAATTTTTAGCTTCATTTGGTTGATTCGATCTTAGTCTTTATAGGAATTTTAATGCTCCCCGGCTTATGAGGTTTGTGGGTAGTGGATATGGAGAATTTATCCTCTGGAATTGTTTCTCCACGAGGGCTTGATCCACTTGATGACGATTTGCTACCATGGGAGGGCCAGAAATCGGACGATGAACCTGAGGACAAGTCTTCAGATTTCTCGTCGTGCGGCGAATCGGAATTTGAGAGGTATTGTAGCGCTAATTCAGCTCTAGGTACTCCTAGTAGTGTTTGCAATTCTTCAGTTTATGAATTTGCTGATTCTGAATTTGGGTCTTTTGAAAATTTTAAACTTGGGGGTGACCGTAAAAGTTTGACGAACTTTCTGGGTGACAAGAAACTATTGAATTTTAGTGGTACTAGTAGTAGTAGAAATTCAGGTATTGAATTTCGTGATGGGAAGAGGGCACTTGATGGTCAGGAATATAAAGGCCATACTGGTGTGAGCAAAAAGAAATATCTTAATGGATTAGGTGATGCTTATTCGAATGGTAGTGAGATTCGTTTGGTCGGAGACAATGATTTGGGTAGGGGAAACAATGGGAAGGGAGCTGAGGAAACTGGAATAGAGGCTGGAGATGGTTCAAAACAATCAAACTATGACTCGAAAATGTCAGTTCACTATTTTGATGGAACTGATGAGCTTGCAGATGATAGTTTTGAAGGGTTAGATCAACTGCCAGGACTCGGAGGATTTGATGGTAGTGATGTGGAAAGACGCTCAGACGAATGTGAGACATCATCAAGAGATGAACATTCTGATGGTGATGATTCTGGATGTGTTTCAGATAATGGGAGGAAGTACTATCTAAATAGTGTGATTAATAAGGAAGATTTGGCAGGAAATATGCTTGCTGAGAATGACAATGGCTTATGTATGTCCTCGGCTATAGCTTTTGGCCAAAATGATTGGGATGATTTTATGCAAGAAACTAGTCGAGGTCATCTGAGCATGATGCATCAACATGAATTTCTTTGTGAAAAACAAGAAATGGCCGAGGATGAGATTAGCAACCACATTGCTGCTTCTTCTGCCCTTCCTGAATTTTCAAGGATAGGATTGAAAGAGCATGATGAAGTGCTAAATGTTTCCAGAACTAGCTATCAAATCCATGAAATTGGTGAATTAGAACAACCTCTGAATACTCCATTTACAAACAATTTGTGTGTCGTGAAATTTGGTGAACCAAGCCAGTTGTCTGAAAAAGCAAACCAGCTAAAAGGTGTTAGTGAATCGGCAGAATGCTCTGAAATTGAAGTTGTCCAGAAAGACCACAAAATGGATCAAAACCATTCAAAGGAAGTAGTCTCATTGGATGAAGAATCAAGTATGTCTCTCACTCAACAGCGTAAAGGGTATGGACAGAAAAGTACATATGAAGCAACTGGCTTTTGTGATAATTTTGGCCAGGAACAGGTAAAGGAGATGAACTTTGTCTGTGATCCTCTCTCTGGTATTGTTGTAAATGATTATGATTCTGCTGAAAATAGTCGGGAGCAGGAGGCCAATATTTTTGAAGAGAATGATCTATCATCAAAGCATTCCCCTGTTTTACTCAATCACTTTGAAGATCACTTTTCTTCGATAAAGGTCAGTTCGAGCCTCCTTTTTTTTTTTTTGGCTGATGTTCGGAGTGTCACTGTTTTTTCCTGAGGCATCTTGTTGACAATACTCTCAACCTAGGTATTTAACTAAATAGAGGACAAAGATCACTGCCGACGCTTTTGATGTCTCTAGATTTTTAAAAAAGCAGTTATCTAATAAATCATAATCTCTTAGTTCTTTTAAGCACCAATCCTCTGCATATGATCGTTTATGTATGTTTGTTTCATGAATTGCACTAGAAATTCCTCATCTATTTGGATGAATCTAATTAGAGATTGAAATGGAGCTATCAATGCTTCCTGAGAACCTGTTGAGGTGATTCTGTTCGAGTTTCTTTGTTATTTTATATATTTTGGAGTGTGTTTGGTTTTAAGTGAGTAATGTTCTGTTCACTTGCCTCGTTATCAATTCTTGGATATTTATTCAATTGCAAATGTGTGGTCAAATTATTTCAAGCATGCTGCTACATAGAATATACTCCATCCATTGCAATAAAGGAGTCTTGTACTAATATAGTTCTACAAGCAGAGTCCCTTTTGTTGACAGAGTACATTGTTATTTTTGGGTTTCTTATGACCTTCAATAAATTCAATCATCTCTCCTTGTGCCAGATTACTACTGACATTTATAGTTTACAAACTATGAAAGGAGAAAAGATTGTGTAATATTGCAGAAATGTGAGCAAAGAAAAGTAGACATTTACTATGAACTATTTGTATAAGGGATGAAAGTGAAATGGTTTCTTTGATGACTGAGCAATAGTAGATCAATAGTGTGTATACTTCTATTTCTTTTGTCATATTAGGTGAATTACACATATGGTCAACATAACATTTTACAAATCATTGCTAACTTGAAACAGTGGAAACCAAAATTATAAAAATTGGTAAAGTAGTTGGTCCCAATGATATCCCATGTGATGGCCAAAAGTGCCTTAAAAATTTAGATTGGATTGCTTACGTTCTATTTGATAGATAGATGTGATGGGTCAACCTACGGGGTCCGAAAGGGAAAAGTTTTTAGTATAATTATGGAGACTGTAAAAATGTCTAATTAGTAGAGAAAAAGCACATCTACATCTCTGTGGCCTCAAAGGAGATACATTAAAATCATCCAACGATAGGGCAATTCATAGAGGCAATGTGTAGAAAAGAAACTAGTGTATTGGAAATTTAATTTGCTGTCATGCTTAAAAAAAGTCTACAGATCACGTGAATGTTATTTTAAGAGAAAATCAGATTTACATATAGGATTATTGATCCTGAGGAGGCATATGCAAAGCTTATATTTATATCAAAGCGCAGATAAGTAAAGGTATCTTTTAAAAAGGTTATATAATCTGTGTAGATATGTGTAATAAGCTGGCAACGAACATCACTACGACAAACAGGTGCACTTTTGGATGCTAAGTCTCAGCTTTGAGCCCTGTGCCCATCAATGAGATTACCTAACATCAACGCCGTTCTGGCATGTGTCATATTTGCAAATGATAAAATTTTAGTTGATGTGATGAGAAAAGGGATCGTGCTGATGGAGTTTATTGAATCTGAAGCTAAAATGGGTGGAAGTATTTTATGAAGTAGGTCTAAGACGTGATAATTTACAAGATTAAAGTATCAACAAAAATATGACATAATAAAGAACCGGCTCATTCCCTTCCTCCTCTCCTCTTACTACAATTTGTAAATTGTGGTCCATACCCGTAACCTGTGTATATGAGGAGTGTATTCCAATCCGGAGGAAGGTGATCATACTCTGGCAACATTGCATTAGGTACAGGTTATTTATTTATTTCTTTATTTTTCCTTTTCTTTTTTTGGCAGGAGATTGGAGAAAAATAGACAAATAAGTCACCCTTGCTCCAAGATGAACAAAAGTACCAGATTAAATAGGAATAGTAATAAATGCATTAGGAAGAACTTGGAGGTAGCCTAATGTATGAGATGGGAGAGGAACATGCTTAGAGTTGTTTAAACCCTGTACATATGGATAATTTAGATACTCCGTTAAAGTATGTGTAAAACATTGAATCTTTAGCTCAGATTAAAGGATTAGAAGACCTTCAGAGATTGGAAAGAAACTAATGGGGAAAATAGTTAAGAATTTGTTTGAATTTAAATGACAGTGTATATAATAGCAAAACCTGATAATGACTTCTAAACAGTTGTTACTGTTTCTCTTTTCGTTTGTCTCCCCCAACCCCCGATGGATTACATATGCTCTTTTTTTTTATGTTTTGTGCTGCAGTGCAGATCTGGCATCATCTTCCTGATGTGTGTTTCTGCGTTTTTTGGGTGCGAGGGACTGTTAAATGTCTTTACAAATTAATGAATTCTCATTTTCCCTTCTCTATTTTGTTGCAGGGAGGAAATCCTGAGCTAAATGATTTTTTTGACGAGATGGTTCACGAGATGGAAGAGATTTTAATGGATACAGGAAAGGCTCCTGGTTCTAAATTTATGAACAGCCTGTCAGCACAACACCGTGTACCTTTATCTTCCAGAGATGGTGGTTCTACTGCTTCTACATCTGGTACAGATGAAGTGTACCCATTTCAGCTTCCTTTGAGGATTAGTGGTGTAGAAGTAATAGGCGCCAGGCAAAAGCGTGGGGATGTTTCATTTAGTGAAAGACTTGTTGGAGTAAAAGAATACACGGTCTACAGGATAAGGGTGTGGAATGGAGAGGAAAATTGGGAAGTTGAACGTCGATATCGCGATTTCTATACTCTCTACCGTCAGCTAAAGAAGGTGTTTCATGACCAAAATGTGGTACTTCCTCCTCCGTGGTCCTCTGTTGAGAGAGAATCTAGAAAGATTTTTGGAAATGCTACACCTGATGTTATTGCTGAGAGAAGTATTCTAATCCAGGAGTGTTTGCAATCTGTTATCCAGTCAAAATTATTGTCCTCCGGCTCTCTCAGTTCTTTAATGCATTTCTTGTCCTCATCAAAAGTAAGTATTAGTTCTTCATCCAGCACACCATTATCCCAATCACAACATTCTTCAAAAGCCACCGACATAGAGAATGTATCTACCCTGGGAAACACCATTTCCCTTGTAGTTCATCTCCGACCTCGCAAGTCTATGAAACAGTTGCTAGACGAACAACATTACACTTGTGCTGGTTGCCACAAGAATTTTGATGAGGGGAATACTCGGATGAAGGAACTTGCACTAACACTTGGATGGGGCAAACCACGTTATTGTGAATATAGTGGGCAGCTGTTTTGCTCGTCATGCCATAACAATGATACTGCTGTGTTGCCTTCTAGAGTTTTGCATCAGTGGGATTTTACGCAATACACAGTTTCACAGCTTTCAAAGTCTTATCTGGATTCTATATTTGACAAGGTAATTAGCACATCTCGCAACAGCTTTTCTTCGTCGTGGACCATTTACAATTAAAAACTTTGGTAGAAAATATGGATTGCATAGTCATTTCTGGTAGGAGGGTCAACGTTGAATTATAAAAGACTTGGTAGTTATTCTTTTCAGTTTTAGTTCGTTTCTTGATGAAATATGAAGTACTAGCAAAATTAACAACTCTCCTGTCCTTGGTTCATTTATAAACTGATTTCATATTTATTTGTGAAATGTTATATTAGCAATACATGCTCAATTATATCTTCGTTTACTGATTGCAGCCCATGCTCTGTGTCAGTGCTGTTAACCCACACCTATTCTCAAGAGTCCCAGCATTGCAATATGTAAGAAATGTTAGGAAAAGGATCGGAGCTATGCTTCCCTTCATTCGTTGTCCATTTCGTAGATCTATTCTGAAAGGCCTTGGATCTCGTCGGTATCTTCTTGAAAGCAATGAGTTTTTCGCATTGCGAGATCTTATTGATCTTTCCAAGGGCATGTTTGCAGGTTGGTATTTATAGGAGACAAGTAATCTCTCTTTTAAAATGTGAATGGTAGTGTCAAGAATGAACTTGCGAATATGTGATGTGATTTTATGATATGTTTCAGAAACCCCCACAGTCTACAAAGTAGCATCCTTACCCCCAAGTATTCTTTTTCCATTTTTAAACAGCTAATGGACGTGGCATCATCTCTTTTCTCTCCTGCTTGTTGAGCTGTTTCTACGTGGCTTGAATTCCACGTTTGGCATAATCTCATCAGTGTTAAGCTTTGGCTTTGTACATTCAAATTTTCGATTTTCTTCATCCCTGAAGGAAAACATTGTTTTAGTGTGGAAATGACTCATTGCCTGATGCGGACAAGGAAGGGTAGAAGAACTCTATTAGAGTTCCATACTTATGCCCAAGATCATCATGATCCAAGGAAGAAACCAAAGTTTTAGTTCTTTGGTTAAGTTAATCCTTATTAAGCAGGAATTTAGTTAGTTTATTATTTTCAGTAATAATTTTAGGAAAAGGGCATTTTAGTTATGTATTCTGCTGGATTTTGGAATAAATAATAGGAAATTAGGTGTGAATCCTAGTTCTCTGGTTTAGATTTAGGTCTATAAACAAGATGTACTGCTTCCAGGAGAAGGGGAGCCTCCGTTAAATAATAAAATTCCTGCAAAGAAGCTTTGCTTTTGCAACTGTGAGTGATACAACAAAACCCTTGGTGTGATGTCTAGGAATCCTGTGGTTTGATGCCAAAGGGCCCTAAGAGTGATTCCTAGATTTTGTTCTTGTTTCCATGCAATTTCTACCTTGTTTCCCTACAGAATTCTTTTAATTTTTCTTCTGCGTTCTACTCTTTAACCAGCCTAAGATCTAGTTTTCTTAACTACCACGCTGGTGCTGCTGTCATTGCCTTATTCTGGAATTCAACTGCCATTTGAGCTGCCTCTGCTTTCAAACTTTTCTTGTATCTTATAGGTTCTATTTTTCTACTTGCAGCATTACCAGTGATCGTAGAAACCATTTCAAGAAAAATGCTGGAACACATCACCGAGCAGTGCCTCATTTGCTGTGATTCAGGCACCCCTTGTAATGCCCGGCAGGCTTGTAATGATCCATCAGCTCTCATTTTTCCGTTTCAGGTTGGTCTAGCTTTTTGTCATATACACCAGACCTTCCATTTCTGGATAATCCTTGCATCTCTTTAATACTGTGTGACCATGATTAGTCCCACTATTCAGGAAATGGAAATTAGAAATTAGGGACAAAAAACAAATTGGATGAATATGCACGTATGACGTATATTTGATTCTGTAGCTCATTTTGCAGGAAGAAGAGGTTGAGAGATGTAGATCGTGTGACTCTGTTTTCCATAAGCGTTGCTTCGGAAAAATTATTACTTGCTCTTGTGGCACCCATCTTAAGCCAAATGAGGCTGTGGGGTTAACTGGGAAGATACATGCAAATGGGACTGGTCGAACCTTGAATTCATCTAGAAAGGAGACATATGCAAGTGGTGGATTTCTTTCTACATTGTTCTCTAAGGCAATGGCCCAGACGCCAATGAGGCAAAAAGAATCACCAAAAGACAATAATACTGTTATCTTGATGGGTTCATTGCCAAGCACATCTATTTGAGGTTTGAGCTCATGCATTGTATCTACAGGCTTCAGTGTACTTTTAAACTTGGATCTGTGGGGTATTTGTTCTGTATATAAGTTTACCCTCAAAATCCACTCCTTAACGATATTGCTGGGTACAAGAACTTATTCTTTACTGAAAATTAATTTCATTCCTTGTGATTATTTGTGATGTTTTGAATCTTGAAACTATCTTTTCCAGATTCAAGTTTCATGTGGTAGATGATGTTGTGTACTGGATTCAGACGAATGGTATTCACAGAAATATAGCAGATGCGTTATTCATTTGAATTGACATTCCAAATGTGTATTGCTCTTTTTTTTTTTTTTTCCTTTTTTGGGGTTACCTGAAATGTGTGATTCATATTTTTACACGATGTAGATGAGTTGTGAAAACTACGGTCTTCTCATCGTAATTTAGTTGATATTTCTTCTTTAAGAATCCAAATGTTCTTCTGTGTAATGTACAATACTTGTTCTGACATGTATTAATGTGAACACTTCAACATGTCCTCCTGATATGGCCTCTCTGTCCTCTACAAGAAGTATCAGTTTTCCAAGGGAGAGCGAAATGTATGGGGCTCATTCTGGTATAAATCTTTTATGTCTTTGCATTCCCTTTGTTGAGTATCTTTGTAATTTCTTTAGTTCTAACTATTTTTCCATCATGTCAGATATATGATTTTCGAGGTATCCCGTTTTAGTTTATGCTCCTTCCTCCCTCTTCAAGGGTTCACATGAGTGTGGCTGCTTCTTAAATGGTGCTTCATACTTTTTTTGCAAGAATGTGATATTGTTGTTACGGATATATGTGTTTGACATTCATTTTATTAAACCTACGGCTTTGTTCTTTTTGCTGCATAGTTAGAATGTGAACTATATGTGAACATGACTAGGGCTGTAATTAAGTAATTACATCATTTGGTCCGGTGCATTTGTTAAACAAAGCAGGGTGAATGAAGGTCTGCAGTAGTTGGTCAACTATTATTTTCCTTGCTGTCGGCAGCAGCAACAAAGATCGTAAAAATTCTACAGATAATTCTTAATTGAACACTTATTCTGCAAATTCGATATGAAAATCATTAATAGGTACTATCATAGCCTGTAAGAAGACTTTTTAAGTTCGATGATCCAAAGTTTTCCTTACATTACAGCAAAATTTGAAGGCTTTTCATGCTACTAACTCAGGTATGCATTAGTTTTTTTCTGTTGGTCATATTAGCCTTAAGTGGAGTAGCACAAGTCAGGATTCACTTGGTTACTTGGTTTTTTGGCTTGCAGCCTAACAAACTGCTACAGTTTCATATTGGAAACTAATACAGTTATGAGAGGGAATACTAAACTCATTGAACATCCAACAATCCCTTTGTAAGATCTTTATGAAGTTCTCGACATTGGTATGTATTTACAAGTATTGCAAGTGAATGGTAGTATGACAAGATTGTTGCTTTGCTACATTTTGTATACCTTAGAACACTAAATCGAAATACTTAAATTGCTATGTAGTCTCATACTTACCAACTGCAACGTATTGTGTTCACGAAATGCTTGTCAGAATCTGACTTGTAGCGGAGCTCTGTGCTCTTTGGAAAACTTCACCGAGGGAGAATGTTGATCTCTTTTGAGAAGTTTTAGTTTTCAAGTTAGGATAGGGGATCATCGAGCACTGTGATACGATTCAGGAAACCATTTGGATAGAAGGAAATGTTTCAGCTTCATTATGAGAACAAAAAGACCATAACAGGGTATGTGCAGCAATGCCACGGATGAGTACCTGGATTATCAGTTGCAGACAGGAAGATAGATAAAACATCATTTAGAATGTAAAGTTTGAAGATGAAGGAAATTCCAAGAACTAATGAACATGTCTAAAGAATGGTAACCCGCTCATGTTAGGGAAACCTAAAATGAGGCAATTACCCTGAACTTCAGAAAGAAGATCAGACAAGTCAGATTCAAGAACTTAATACCAATTTTACCGCTGTTAAAATGTCAGAGGAATTAGATTTGGCACTAAGCAGTCAAGTAAAAGGTTCAGGTAACTTTAAACATAGGAAGTGTTTGGAAACTTTTGATTTTTTTTGGCATCAGTGAGTAAGTTTTCGCAGTTTTGAAAAGGCATTCTCACAATATAATGCATCAGCAGAGGCTACAGTTCAACCAAGAGAAATCTGATGCAGAAAATTAATTGACTGTAACTCTGAGTCTTCTTCTGGTCTGAAAAATATGATTCATATGAAGCACTAAATCCAAAGTATTCTGAAAATGCTTACCATACTGGAGCATAAGGAGAAGATAAATCGAGAAATGGATATGGCCACCTGTTATGGAGATTACAGTTAGCAGAGATGATTTACGGAAAAAAGAAAAGAAAAAAGAAGAAACAATTTCTCTGAAACAATGAGGGCAGAGTAGAGTAGAGCAGCCAGGCTTACCAAAGTGCAATGCATGCATGGACAATCCACTGAAAAATGACATAACAATTTGTCCAAAGGAAAAAGTATGCAATGCGGAACCAAGGGAAGCGCTGAAGACCAAACCAAAAATGTAAAAAAATGTTATTAAAAAGATGAGAAGTGAACTTTCTTGATTGAACCAACAACAGGAACTTACCAAGCTGTTCAATGCAGTTTCGGCAAGCAGAAAAACAGCATTGATCGAATGCATATTAATAATCAACTGCACAGTAAAAGTTCTATGATTGAGTGTAATGATAATTTAAAGGGAATTTGAGAAACTACATATGTATGCTGTGAAAATTAAGCGTGCTCGGACGACATAGATGCTGAAATCTGTTGACTGTAAGTGATTGAAACTGCCTTCTCTTGGGTATAAAATGCAGGCATGATTTTCTTAAGCTACCAATCTTTATTAATGAGAGAAGATTGTAACAGTTTGAAACCATGCGAAATACTTACAAAATTCAGGCTATAATCTTTTATGGCGAGAAAAGGCACAATTACAAACCAAAAGACACAGTCAGTCAGCAGCACAGCTCCAGCATTCATCTTGAGAACGAAAACAGAAATTTGGTCAGAGTCTGCTGCAGAAAATTTAACTGAGACTTGCAGCATTCAATCTACAGAGGGTTCTTTTCTATTTATTTTATTTATTTATTTATTTTTTAGTCTACAGTGGTTAAGTACACATCCATTTACTTGAAACATCAAACAATGACATCAAGGTTTCCAGTCCATTCAGACAGTTACTTTCTAAGTTTCAACTCAATATGAAGGACAATTTTATCAGATATATTTTTAGCAAGGGAGCAGAACAACAAAAATGTATAATCTTTCTGAGGAGGACCATAGACACGAATTTTCAAGATTGCAATCCACTAATTGAAACTCAGAAGACCAGTTTGTTGCATTATTGATACCTGGAAAATTATTTGGAAAGCATAACTCCAAAAGCTAGCCAATTGCCTTCCATGTTCTTCATTAGGGCCAAAGTTCTTCACCCGAGAAGTTTCAAAACGAGAACCAGGCTCCACATCCTCATTCCTGTTCCCAACTCTGTGTTGATACTGGTAACATCCATACATGGACAGCAGAGATCCAAGCTACAATTGAATGACAATCCTTATAAGCAAAAGCATGCATTTAGCAAACTTTTTCAAACATCAAATTTTGGATTACTTACCCCAAAATAAATGGTTACTAATGTGAATGTCCACCTGCACATTGCCAAAAAAACATACATTACATATACCGGACTTCATTTGACAATCGATATCTCATAGTCTCGCCAATCGCTTACATCATCTGATGCATTCGCGAAATGAGGATCAAAATGGCTTTAAGGAAAAAAAAAAAAACAGAAGTAAAACTGCAGGAACTTACTGAGTGTAATAGTACATAATGTCACCTCCATCGACGACAATATTAAGAATCAGCATCAACAAAAGCACTATAAAAGCAACAACTCGCAAACCAAGCAGCCAAGCAGGATGTATGGTGTTCAGACAGGGCTTCCAAACTTCATCTTGATACAAGGTTCCGGGAGAATCCTCTAATGTCTCTCTACTTTTTTTCCTCGAATTTTTCCGAGGGCATTCATACTTTGATACGAGAAATGATGCAAAGACCAATGACACCAAAATCCAAATGGAACAAAGCAACACCCTCCAGTTGAGCCAATAACTTGAGGTGGTTGTATCAGCAGTCATGATTGGCTGCCAAGTGTGCTTTGAAGGGCCTGTGAAAAAGTCCATCCTGTTAATATATTTATCTCAGTATCTATTTTATTCTGATCAGGGATTTTAATGCTGGAGACAAAATCAATTGTCTGATAAACTTTTAATGAATAAAACAATCAAGCTAAGATGATTTGAGGTTATGAATAACTCCAAGAAAAAATGGGTTCAAAATTTGAGAATCAAATGTCTGAAAGAATGGCTTCTCCTTCAAAGAATCAAGAAACAGTATGTATGTATATGTATGGAGAAACAGAATCAAGGAAATCCCATTGGGCTTCTTCATCCAGCTAGGACAAATGAATGATAACAATGTATGAACTGAAAGCTACATTAATTGCAGCTGAAGGCAGGAAAGAGGTTCAAAACTTTCAGACCATATTTCCAAATAAAGCTGATGTGTTGCACAGAACCACACACACACACACACACACACATGAAATTTTAAGATAACAGAAAGAATGGAAGAAAAAGGAGGGAATGGCCTAATTAATTGTAAGCAAAGAAAAGTTGGAATATATACTTTGAGAGAGAGATAAAGCAAAGCTACAATTTTGGAGGGAGCTGGTTGTTTTGTCATTTGAAGATTCTTTGCTTATTTGCTTTATTATAACATATTGTTAAAAAAAAAACCAAAACAAAAACACACACACACACACACACACTAATAGAAATAAATTAAAGGCTGGTGTTCTTAGAGCACAAGCTTATTTTTTCACTTTTTTCTTTTTTTTTTTTTGCTTATCCCCATATGAACTTCTTGTAGCATAGACTAGTCTAATGCAAAATCCCATGCAAATATTGATATTTTATTTTATTTATTATTATTATTATTATTTTTTTGGGTGGGAAAAAGAGGCAGCTTTCTTTGTACATTGTAATTGAACAGAACAGAACACAGGCTTTGGTTTAGTCTTTTTTCTAGATTTTGATATTCCACAGACACTTGGAATGTTGGGACCTACCCTACCATATTACTGAATCCCTCTTTCTGTTTTTTGAGATGGATTTTGTGTTGGATTTGCTTTGAGGTTCCTTTTAAACATTTAAATATTGGAAAAACTAAAACTAAAAAGTGCATATTTCTGATAATCTAACAGAGCACGAGAGAAAAGGTCAATACACTCAAGTCACATGAAAGAGTGGTAACAAGACATCAAATATGAGGTTTAATTTTGCAAATTTCAGAAAATAGATTTCATTACATTTTGAAAAGAAATATTCATTAATTTATGTCCGAATCAGCCATCACTAAAGATAATAATCAATTCGGAGGCTAGAACTGAGGTGAATCCTCACAATGCAAGTCCTAGGATAGTTTCCAATTTCACGAGCATATTTTCTGCCTAGTTGAAAATCTTACGAATTGTTAAGCCGTTTGTATAAAAATAAATTTTATACTTTATTGTCACCTTAGTTTACGATATATTTTATCGTTACTTCACAATTATTTTACAAACAATGACCGTTTTCACGTGAGCAACTAAGTAAAAGTCACTGTTACACGTAATAAACATTTTGTGATAGACATGCATTACATTAAGTGCATGGTGCAAATTAAATACACATGAAATTTGCTTTAAAAAATCGTGTATATATATATAAGTATAAATGAGAATGATAAAACGTAACCGCCATGCAATCCAATTGGCCAAGCTACCAAAGAGAGAGGGATTCAGGCTAAGTTGACAAATGTAGTTCTTAGTAGCGTAAAAGCTATATTTCTTACGTCTCACTACAAAGTTTTCAGACTCTGATTATAAACAATATTCCCTCTGTCCCAAAATTATTGTCCAATTTGAGATTTCATTTTTAGTACAATTTGAACTAAAAATAAAAATTCAAACTGGACATTAATTATGAGACGGAGGGAGTATAATTTTTTAATATTAAGAAATTGAGTTTCAAGTAATTCACTTTGAGTTTCGTATGGTTTTGTTTTAGAAAAAATTGAACTTAAGTGTATAAAAAATATTACAATCTGTTCTGTAAATAAGAAAAAAAAAAGGAGGAAATTGTATATCGTTTCTTGATACAAAGAAGTGTTTTCTATTTTTGTTTATGATAGAACCCATTGAAGTTGAACCCGATATATCATTTGTATTGAACTTTATTACAACCTGTACATTAAATCCTATTTCAAGCCTGTTTAAAGTTAACTAATGTAGATTAATTAGGACACTTTTTCCTCTCAATATCAATTTCACTTTGTCTTGTAATAGTAAATAATTAATAATGCTACTTTTTTATTCAAAGAAAAATTAGTGGGCAATGTTCTGCCAATTTATATCAGAAGCACTATGTCACAAGGTTTTAATTTCTTAGAATTTTTCATTTTAGTTATTCTGAATGTCTTTGCATCTTATTTTAATGATTTACTTAATTAATGAACCACTATTATTCTTAGAAAAGCATTTTCAATTTTCATAGCGCGAGTTTTATAGAAATGGTCCAATATTGGCATTATGGTGGGACCAAAGTCAACAAATTTTAACAGAAAACTTTTGTCTTTTGGGAACCTAGCGTTAAGCTCACTTTGGAGTTTGGAATTCAGGACCGGTCAAGTTAGCGAGTTTTTTTTTTACGGGGTAATGTTCAAAAGCACTAATTAACAATTAAATAGTAAGAATATAACTGGTAATATCACCGTTCTAAAAAATATTTCACGTTATTTAATACTGTTTTAATTTGATAAAAATGGATTATTTTTCTGAGACAAAAGAATTTTTTACATTTTACAAAAAAAAAAAGTTGATATTGAAATTTAAAACTGAATGTATCTGTAAAATGTAGTGTTGAAGACCATGTCAAACAATCCTTATTCTTTGCAAGGTAATACTTATCATTCAAAAGACAATAGTTCGTTTGATAAAGGATTTACTATACACATCCTGACATATAGTTCGTCTGTCGAACCATAATAATACAACAAATTGAATTATTTTGTACGAGGAAGTAGTTCTTTTAATCGGCCACTTTTTAATATTTTTATGATTACTTCTTTTTTGAATATGGGTAATTAATCACCAATCAAGCATCGATCTCTCAAATCATTGCCAAATGATTAGTAACAACTTTCGCATTTCAGGATGGCTAGAAATAGGAGACACTTTGGTTTAATTTCATACTCAAAAATGTTTTACAATTACTGAATGGCCCGAGTTATCTAGTCACACTTAGGCTTTGTTTGTTAGGTTTTTTTATGTTATTTTTAAAATATTTAAATAATAAATGTCCCATACCAGCATACCTTTTTACATTTCTAATACAGTTTTTTACATTTTCAATACAAAAAACACCTAAAACACACACGCTAAAAACACGAAACAAACATAGAAACACTGCGGACTGGAGTGTCACGTCAGAAAAAGAAAACAAACCAATTTTCTTAGTTTGCCAAAGTAAAATTATGGTTTTCTGAAAACATATTGTACCGTTTCGAAATAATCTAACTATTTTGGGACGGTATAGTAAAAAGTATAGGAGCAGATGATTTTGGAAAATGAAATGGAAATGATATGTATTTTAGCCCATCAATTCAATAACTGTAGTTTCCAACACTTTGAATGTGGAATATGTGGTTTATATAACCGGAAAAAAAAAAAGAAAAACAAAGAAAAACAAAGTACCTACTAACAGAATGGTCTCAGAACAAAATGGAATTGCTTCCATCCCTTGATCTAAGTGTAATTATCAGTCAGAATCGAACAAATCTATAAAATCAAAACCACTAATTATGCAACCATTTCAATTAGTTTTGAGCTCAAAGACGAAAGCGAACTTCAATATCTAGCTAGCTAGCTGAACAAAATGTATGTTGTGTGCACGAATCAACTGAAATAATTCAGTCAAAAAAACTGTGTGCCAAATCAACTGGAAAACAAACAAGACGGAAGATTATGAATAAGATTTACCTTGCATTGGAGCGTTTGGAAGCACCAAAAACCCTCCTCTTCTTAGCCTCTTAAAATCCAGCCAACAACATAAACAAGCTAACTCAAAATTCTCTGCCTATTGAATGAAGTAGAATTAGTAGTGAAAAGGCCAGACCAAAATGATGGGGTATATTTTTTTTTTTGACTAGCCCTAGTAGAGTTAGTCCAAATGTTGCTGCTCATTCGTTTAACATGTAACGCCAACTGTCTAACCAACCGAGATGTTTTAATTGGGATGCACTACATACATATTTTTTCGTTCGAAAAAGAAAAACTTTCCTAAATAATGGTTACTCCTTTTTTTCTTTTTTTTTCTAATTGCTTCAATCAAAATCAGAATGAAAAAATTAGTATATAGGAAATGGAGAAATGAGGCGCAATATCAATATCTATTGGGGGAAAAAAAGAAAAGAAACCCTCATTATTAGTTACATTAAATTAACAATACAGAGCATGGTTAAGGAGACGTGACCCCTTTTTTTTTCTTTGACAAAAAGGGATTATTTAATCGTTGGGATGTCTTCTTGATAAAATGAGAAAAGAAAGAACAGTACGTATAAGCCATATTTGTTGTTTAATATTCCATCTGTCCCATAATTATTGTCCAGTTTGAGATTTCACTTTTAGTACAATTTGAATTAGGAATGAAAACACAAACTGGACAATAATTATGGGACGGAGGTAATATTTGTTCTAACACAACATTCATCATTTACGCACGAAGTGTCTAAAAATTACATTCACCTATACATTCAATCACTATATTCTTCAGGTGAGTTCTGACCTCCCAAATTTAAGTTCACTTGTACAAGTATAACTCCGGAAAACATAATATATGTGTCATATTCTGTTTTTTTTTTTTTCAAGTTGAAAAATTTGAGGGTAATAAGTTTTTTTTAATAGTATAAGAACACAACCTCCACCTAAAGGGAGAGTTTGTCCACAATTTTTGAAACAATAATTCACTTACTACTTTTACATTTTGTGGAGATGTAAAGATATTTAAAAAACACATGCACTGTTGGTAAGCATATTCTTTTTGTCCTATTTACAATCTCTATGAATTATGATCAACACCTAAGTGCTGGTTGCTTAGTAAGGGCTATCATGAATTAGCTAACCACAATCTACATATTATGCTTTTAACATAAGAAAAAACATGTGTTCTTTTCACTTCAAAAGTCATTGTCACCGTCTCCAGATGTTGACAGACAAAAGGGAGCAATAGCTACATTGAATGTCGTTGAACCGACTGGATCGACATGCTTCATCTCGAATTCGCCTTCCTATTATATATAAACAAGGAACACAATCAAGCTACCGATCAAATTCAAGATTTTGTAGGTTCAAAGATGAAAAACGAAAGAAGCTCAAACCACTTTTACAACTTCCATTCATCAAACACAACAAATATGTCGCCTCCCAAAGACACAAACATAGTTGGTCGCTAACCCATGCAGGTTTCACTGTTTTGCAAAACACCCATTGTAAGTTGAACTACCACATGTTACTGCCTTCACCCAAGGGGAAGGTTTACAGTTAACTCATGCAAAAACCACCAACACTCGAGTGATCATGGGCAAAGCATTGGGGACTTATAAAGGTAACCATCAGAAAGAGTTCACAAGGAGAAGACTGGGGAGGGGAGCAAGGACATGATAAACCAAGAATAAAAATCAAACTCATGTTCTTGTTAAGATGGTATTAAGTATTAACTGCTGACACCAACGAAACTAAAGTATATTGTAAACTGTTGTTTTACAGTTTTCACAGAAGATAAGAAGTTTTCAAAGCTTCAACTCTGAATAATTTCATGCAAGCTCCATGTTTGTTTGGTAAGGAGTTAGAAACACCCACTTTACGTATTATAATTCTTGCTTAAAATCGTACCATACCCATAAATGAATAATGTGAGACAAAAGAGTTTCAACCAGTAACATCGTAACTCACCATTCTCCCACTGGGGGTACTCAATGGGCAAGCAGATGTATACTCAAAACCGCTATTAGGAAGTATCACTGGTTGTTCACCAATAACTCCATTTCCCCTGTTAGAAACAAATGCACAGTCAACAATAATTTTAAATAAGCAGCCGTGGTTAAGTCCTAATGATTCAATGGAAGTGTGTAAAATTTAAAATGTGTACAAAAGATTTGGTGCTATGAAGTTAACTCACCTAACGTGTTCCGTGTTTTCATTTGCATCGGTGATAATCCAATGCCTTCTAAGAAGTTGAACAGGACGATCAGAGTTGTTGCTGATTCTTATTCGATACGCAAAGAAATATAGATCTCTTGAAGGATCACTACGGCTTTTGATATACACACTTCTAACTTGAACCCTGATACCCTGAAAAAAACAAAACATTTTTAAACTTTGAAACATCTCAAGGACTTAGCAATCCCAATACACTCAAAAAACAGTCATAGGAGAACAAATGATAAAGCTTTGCCAAAAATTTAATCCACTAAACTCAATGAAGAGCTGGAAAATGCAAAACTTGATCCCGATAAGAACACAGGATATAGCAGGTTTTCAGAAGCGTAGTAAACTAACATATCAAAAAGTTGAGGAAGAAAATAAAAAGAAAGGAAATCTCATGAATTCTCAATTGATCATTCACATCATGCTCTGTTACCATGTGAGCACCTACACTAACTTAGTGAATTCAGAGAGTTAGTTCGGTAAGAATATCAACTGACAAATTCACATAGGATGAAAGACTAAACGGTAATCAAGAATGTTATTCAAACCCGTAGGACATAATCCAGGATAAGTACATTAGATTGTGAGTTTTACGGACATCAACAGTTACTAAAATTCATTATAGAAATAGGCAATTCAAAGGTGCTATTCATCATGGAACCGGCCATTGATAGCCAGAAGCACTACCACATCAAATTGGAATAGCAACGCTGAATAAGTGTTGATAAGTCATATCCAGGCACAGTTGGACTTCATTTATTTATTTATCAGTTTTTTATTTTGGCATTAGGGTTTTATTGCTGTAAGGGTATTTTCGGATGAGGGAAATGTTTGGGTTTGCGAAGGAAGCCAAACCTAAATTCATTCAATTCAAATAATTTAAGGATTTTGGGGCTAATATCAAACATAACAGTAAAGAACACAGTTTGAGTTTGATAACAAAAATCTATTATATCCATCACGAAACAAAACTTAAGCTTCAACACTAAACAGAGCTGAGACATATATCTTGGTAACTGTCCTTCAGAACTTCTTAATGTTTAAAATCTTGTTACCAGCAATAAATAGAGCCAGTAAATATGCAATTTTTCTGGTCAGAATTTTAGCAAAAATTCTTTAACTACCCACCTTCACAGCAACTAAGTTTTCACTTCAAAAGAAATGTGAAGAGTACAGCTACTAAAGTTTCACTTCTAAAGAAATTTGAAGATCATTAGGTACATCATATAATTAGGAAGTTTACACCAGGCATAAAGGTCACCAGTTACATCGGATATCCTACATGAGACATAACAGTTACCAACCAGTACCCTCTCTGAGTAAGAGCTTGTCTGTTACAAATCACCCACGAGCCCACTCCTAGTTGAACTACCTTTAAGTAACTCAAGATTATTTCAAAAGTACCTGTCTGCCATCTTGGAGTAGTTACATTCAACTTCAGATCATGTGTGTGGTTGTGAATCAAGCAAGGATATAGAGTAAGATAGTCTCAAACTCACTTGAGGTTAGCAAAGATTCTTGTATTAGCAAAGATTCTTAGCGAGGTACAATTGTTGCCTTATTAGCCCTGCTTTTGGCATTAATACAAATAGGGAAATGAAGGAAGGTGAACTAAAAATTTCCAGAATTTCTGGCTCTCTATTGCATAATTTAAACTTCCCATGTAAAATTTCCTAGGATTTAGTAGTTGGACATAAAATGGCTTGTGGAAACAATCTCTATGCAGTTTCTCCTTGTTAAAATAAAACTATGATGGTGCCCATCTATGACAGCCATGATTAGAAGACACAATTTCTCTTTCCCTGTGTGAAAGACACTCAAAAGAAAAGAGACGCCTCATAAACAACTACTCTCTTGTTAATTAGCTAAAAGCAAACCAAGCAGCTCCAGAATACATGAACCTACAGTTGCACCCAGACTTTTGCTAAGTCGGGGAATGAAAAGTCTATATATCTTGAATTCCTCATCTCATGTACTCTTTTTTCAAGAAATCCACCCAGACAAAGTGACACTATATATCTTCCTCCAACTCGTTAGCTTGAAACGTAAATTTCTGGATGAAATATAGCCAGTTTTCCGATACGCACATTTCATGCTCAGTAACAATTGCAGATCTGAAAGTTATATTAGCACGACAAGTAACCGTCACAGATGGTACCATTAAGGACCTTTAATAAGATTATACCGATTCCATCAAATCCTTATACATGCACTAGTAAATTTCATTCTTCACAAGCCCTGTGCACTCAGTATACGTGATAATTAAATCTCGAAAAGTAAGTAATCTAGTAGTTGAGATATTTCTCAAGTAATCATTGAACGAAAACCAATTTTTGCACAAACAAGGCCAAATACGCAATTAATATAATTGATGTGAGCAATATAAAGTGGCTGCAGAAAAAGTGGTTGAAATAAAAAAACTGAGACATAAAGTTTGAATAATAGTCATACCAAGGTGGTCGCATCACTTGAACATTTTAAGAGAGAAAGAGGATCAATTTCGTTCAGTTGATCACGAAACCCAGCAGCATCCTGCATGCACATAAGGTCACATAACATTGAATCCAAATGAAGTGGCCATATTGAATACAAGGATTAGATGGAGAACCAATATTGCTACAAATACAACCGCGAACCTTATCCCATGTAAGTGCGGTTATCAATTGCTGCCATCATGTTATATCCAAACCCATAACTTCATTTAAGTCCAAATAAATAATTTCCTTCACAGTTTTCCTAATTCATTATAGATATTCCTGACCACTAAAAATTTTTCAATATTAGAATAAGTTTTAGAGCATCAGATGAAAAATACACCAGAAACAACATGAGAATCATTTTACGTTGTGATATTGAGCTACAACTTTGATAAAGCTATAATGCAGATTATAAGTTTCGGACCCAAAAAAAAAAAAAACAGAGAGAGAGAGAGAGAGAGAGAGGTTTAGCTTAGTCCACAATCTGCTATTTTGCTATGTGCTTAAAGATTCTACACTAAGCACCAATAATTTGATGTATGCAAATATGTTATCAAACACAACACTAATAACAACTTTATACAAACCTCAAACCTAAAAACCTCTCATCCTCAAAAAGTAAACAAACCTCAAACCTCTCATCCTCAATGGCTTCTTTTAACAATCTTCTCAGTCGCAGGACAGGATCATCTTCTTCTAACGTTTTCAATGAATCTCGAATTCTTGCAGCTTCTTTGTAGTCCTACAGTGATAACAACACCAGTACCCATATGTCACTGAATCAGATTGCTCAAATTTAGCTCAAATTTCCACCCTATGATGTATGAATAGCCAAAAAATCACAATGTTTCATCTTCACTTCAAATTGCCTCATTGTGAATTGAATTTTAGTTCCACAGGATTAGCAATTTAATATTATGACTAAATTTTGCTTGGCAGGCAATAGCTAATCACTGACCAGAAAACCATGAAAGAAATACCCCCCAAAAAAAAAAGTGCAATATCTAATACAAAGGAGACCAACCTTAATTTCATTGAGAATGGGGCTAATACAAAAAAGACCAACCTTAATTTCATTGAGAATGGGACTAATACAAAGGAGACCAACCTTAATTTCATCGAGAATAGGGCTAAAAAACTATCTTTTTCTCCCCAAATCTTCCCATCAAGTCACACTTCCTCTTATAGAAACTTTGACTAACATTTCAATTATTTGCTATAATTTCCGGAAAATTTTCTTGGTTGGAAGAATAATTTTTGTTTCAGAGAAGGGCAGAAGGCAATTAAATTTTGGATGACTACAGAAAATACATCTTCGAACTATATTTCAATTTCTTTCGAAAGTTCTTCACTTGAAAAAATAATAATAATAATAATAATCAACAAAGAATACTTATTTCTCATTGCCAAAACAAAATTATCCAATAAAGCTAAACCAGAACTTCCATGATAGTAGTCTACTGAATATAATACAAACAACTCAATTAGATTTAAAATGAGTAAAAGCCACGAGATTTTTGGACATGAACGTTAACAAATGAACTGGAAGCTAACCTCAGATTTAGCGGCGACATCCATTTGCTGCTTGAGCAGAGCATAAATCTGGGTCCTAGAAAGGGAAGAACTCTTCTGGGTTGTCCCCAAATCGGGCTCCGAACCTTGACCCGGTACCAAACCCGGACTTTCTGCCTCGCTCCCATTTCGATCAACCGCACAAGCTACAATCCGACAACACCTCCAAACCTTATTCTTGTTGTTGTTCAGCTTCAGCTTGAAGCTTCTTTCGGTATTGCTACTAACCGCATTACTACTCAGTCGATTCGGCCATGGCTTCTTCGTTGCCAAGTCCGATGTAACACTGAATTTGAGGGAATGCATTTTCTCTTTTTGTGTCTGAATTTGTTCCAAATTGTTGGGTTTTGATTCTGAAATGGAGAGTGAGGGTCAGAATTTCCTGTTATTTCTGTTATATTGTCGGAGGGGCTGAAGTCTAAAAAAGACTTCAGACTTTATGGAGGAAGGAGTTACACTTGGTTAAGTATTTTGGCACCAGTTTATCAACATACTGTAGTATATAATACCCTTTAAAAGAAAAAATAATAATAACAAATAAAAAAATTCCCCTATCCAAAGAAAATATAATCCACATGAATTTTTTGTGATTTGTACTGATAGTCTAAATTAGGAGTTTTTAAAATTTTAGTAAATATTTCAAAACTCAATGTGAACTGTTAAGATAAATCTAATCCATTCCTATTATAAAATGTGGAGGCTAAGCTTTTCGTTCGTCGACATCGTTGTATTTTCTAGGGGTGTTCATGGTTTGGCTCAAACCAGTGAAATCGCCCAAATCAGTTATCGGTTCGGATTAGCGGACAGTTTTTAATTGGATTTTAAAACTGATGGATTTGAAAATTAAAAATCGATCATACCGGTCCGAATTACGGTTTGACAGTCTATATATATTATTAAATAATAATATAATGGTTCTTGTATATGCGAATGATAATTTATATTGAAAATGATAAGTTGTCTTATTGACAATATTGTATTCCCTACTCTACTGATCATTGAAGGTCGTGTGTTCGAGTCCTCCCTTTCACTAAAATTTTTCCATTCATTAATGTGATGCTTGTTATGGGGGTGTGAAATACCAAGGGCCCACTAAAATGGCTTTCAATCTCACACATTCAAACCCTGCAGATTATGTGGGTATGAAATCCAAGATGCAAAATCTTTTATTTTTTCAACATTTTACCCCTCTTTAAAGTATTCTTTTTTTTATTCTCTGTTTCTTACAATAACCACCACCTGCTCTCCTATCACTTTAATTCTTTCGAACTAAAATACTACAAGTACTTAAGTAGTACTCACATCAATTAGCCTCACACGCCCCTAAAAAATTTCTCAAAAATTCTCCCAGAATTTTCACGATTCTTGCATCCTGCTGGATTCCTGCAATCAAACATTGGAATTTCCCAAATCAGCTCACACAGAATACGAGTACGGATCCCTTTCTCTGTAATTTTAGCCTCATTCTTCCTGCTTGCGTATCAAATGAAATTCGGGTTGCTTTGAAGGGCAGAGTTCACTGTTATTTGAGGTATGCGCAAAGGCTTTTATATGATAATTCTATTATCAAAATTGTATTTGTTGCTATGAGAACGGCTACCCCAAGGCAGTGGTGTGTACTGAGCTGTTCAAGAGGACAACAAGTAACCTTCAACAGGAGACTTTTATCTCATCTACTGCTATGCCTGCTTCACCACACAGATCATATGCACAACCACTAAAATATGTTCTGGGTATCACTATTGTTTTGTCGAAAAGTCTTCCTTGTGTTAAGAAATCAGAAATGAGGACTCATAAAATTGAGTGTCACTGTCATACTTGTCAAAGTCGATTGCAAACATCATCAAGGCGTCCGGTCTTGCAAAGCTATGTTTCTGGCAGGGAGAATAGTGGCGCATCAAAGAAGCCACAAATTTTGCAGGTTTGGAGAAGGATAGATTTAGATATGAAAATGATACGGATGGTACTGTTGGGGCTACAAACATAGAATCAATTCAGCAATATGTGGACTCTAAGATGATCGTCAATAGCAATTCAGAGGGCTCATTAAATGTTTATGCTGTTCAACCGGCGCATAATGATGTTCCTAAGCATAGTGAAGATGCTCCATTCACTGAGCTTTCCACAATTCTTGGTCAGGCTTCTACTATCGGAGTAGATACAAATGCTTGGTGGCAGGGATGGAAGGTTTTCAGGTTAGTTAGGCGGGTGAAATTCAAAAAAATAGGCATTAGTTGGCTGGAAAAATTCAGAAAGTTGGGAAAAACCATCAATACAAGCTCAACCAGTCGATGTACAACCAAGGAGAAGAATATTGTTGGCTCAGACAATAAAAGAAAAGCCGAGACAAAGGTTGACTGGATAGCGCAACCTTGTAAAAGGAGGATGCTGAAACAGGTCTGGACACCACAACTTTTGAGCACAACTCTATTTTTTTGGGAACGGAATTATTCCTCGACGGGGAAACCTGAGCAACAAACGGAGGTATCCATCTGCAATGACTTCATGTTGGTAGATCCAACCAGCCAGCTTAAAGACAAGAAGCAAAAACCTAGTAGGCGTCAAAAGTTTGAGAAATTATGGTCCAAATGTGCTAGATTGAAAGAACTACTTCACAGTGCTTGGACTCAGGGTACGCTGCAGATTAGTAATCAGCAGGAGAAGCTTTTACCAGCTGAAATCCAGCCTCGTTAGCCTTCACATTTGGAGCAAGGAACATTTTGGCAACCTTGACAAATTGGTGGCCAAACTCACTAAGCAATTGCCTTCCTTGCAACTGCAGTGGGAGACCAACTCGCAGAATCAACACCTTTCTGCTCGACTGGAGAATAAAAGACAGGAGCTAGAAGAGACTTTACAACTCAAGCAAGTTATTGGCAACAGAGAGCAAAACTGATATGGCCTTTACAAGGTGATAAGAATACAAAGTTCTTCCATAAGTGGGCAACTAGAAGAAAAGGAAACAACTGGATTACTGAGCTATGTAATGAGAAGGGTCACTGGTTACAGGAACCTGAACAAATTTCCAACCTCTTATAGCAACACTTTGATGGAATTTATTCTGCAACACAAGACGATGCATTGTGCTCCACTGATTCCCCTTTTATGGGACAGCTATTCCAGAATGTTCAAGAGGTCCTTTCACCTGAGCAAGCTGCTTCCATAGCTCAACCTTTTACTGCTACTGAAATGTGGGAAGCTGTCAAACAAATGTCTCCTTGGAAGGCACCGGGACCTGATGGAATGTCTGCTGGTTTCTACAAAACATACAAGCACATCATTGGACAGGATGTTGAACACACCATTTTGGAAGCAATCAACCAACAACAATTCCCCAAAGAATGGAATCAAACTAGCATGGTCCTCATTCCAAAGGTACTCAATCCAGCTACTCCTAGTGATTTTCGTCCAATTAGTTTTTGTAATATAAAATACAAAATCATTACAAAGATGATAACAAATAGACTGAAATCCATCATCCCGGATCCCATTGATGCACCAAAATGGTTTTGTCCCTGGAAGAAATATCAGTGAGAACATCCTTCTGGCTCATGATGTTATAGAATGCAGTAAGAAAAAGGAGGGAGAGTTGGGTCTTGCTATAATCAAATTAGACATGAGTAAAGCTTATGATCATGTCTCTTGGTCACTTCTAGAAGCAATGCTCACCACAACTGGTTTTCCTTCAGAAGTGATCAAATTAATAATGTTCTCTATCACTACGGTCACTTCTTCCATCCAATTCAATGGGGAGTGCCTTCCATATTTCACACCGACGAGGGGTCTCAGGCAGGGATGTCCACTTTCTCCTTATCTCTTCATTCTATATCAGCAAGTATTATCTTCAGCAATAAGGGCAGAAATTGAAACCTTCCCAGGACTAGGGATCAAAGTCAGAAAATCAACTAGCAAAAGTCTTCAATCCTATTGAGCTCTAACACTTCTCCTTCCATGAGAAAACTTATCCATACAACCACCAAGATTACTGAGGGAAGTTTTTAGAGCAAGTACTTGGGTCTATCGTTAGATTTCAAAGAAAAAAAGAGTGTGATTTTTAGAGACTTCGCAGCAGGATTATCCACCAAGTTTGCAGACTGGAAAACAAAACTCCTCACTTTTGCTGGAAGGATTACTTTGGCAAAGTTAACACTGTCAGCTATGTTGGTCTATCCAATGGGAGTTTTCAAGCTTCCGGCATCCACTTTACACAAAACTGATAGTATTATTGCCAACTTTATTTGGAAGGGAGATGTCCAGACTAAAGGGATTCATTGGAGGTCATGGAAAAATATCAGTAAGTCAGTGTTTCATGGAGGATTGGGATTAAAGGCCTCTAAGGAGTTCTATCAAGCTTTATTGGCAAAACATGCCTGGAAGATAATTTCTCAACCAGAGTTCTAATTTCCAGAGTATATCGAGCCAAATACTGTTCTACAGAAAAATTTCCTCAGCATCAGGCACCCAACAATGCGACCTGGGAATATAAAAGTGTTGTGGGGTGCTAGACTCTTGCAGCATAACATCAAATGGAAAGTTGTTTCGGGAAGGAGCATACATATTGCTGATGATTGGATTTCAAATCACCTAAACCCCATCCAACGTGAGTCCTTTTTGGCAACACACTCCAATCTTATGGTCAGTGACCTCATTCGTCCCAATGGCCAATGGAAGATCTCTTTCCTTAGATCCATCTTCCCTAATCACATTGTCCCACACATTACTGGAATCTTCATTGATCCAGTCAGAGCTTCACAGAATGATAAACTTCTTTGGTTGAATACATCACATGTAAATTATACTACACAATCTGGTTACCACACTGCATTGAATGGTGGTATTCATCACTTGCCCCAAACTCATCAACAGCAACAGAGAGAAACTCAAGCTTGGAAGAAATTGTGGAACTCTGGTGTGCAACCCAAGTATAAAATGCTTTTTTGGCGGGCAGTTCTGAATGCTTTGCCCTCCAAAAAGGGGTTGCAAAAAAGGGGAGTACAAGTGGATCTCATGTGCCCGCGTTGCTTCAGCCATATAGAGGACAACTAGCATCTTTTCTTCCAGTGCCCAATTTCTCAGGCAGTATGGAGCTTCGCTTATCCCAAATTCCAGTCAATTCTAAATGGGAATGCCACGACACTTCTTGAACAAAGCTAATTTACAGAGATGGAAATCCCTCCAGGCTTCAGATCATCAAGTCACTTTGCCAATGAGATTGCCAGACCACCAGGCAACGATAGTATTCGATGGTTCCTTCCATCCCATAACCAGAAGAGCAGCAGGGGCATGGAGAATAACCTCACCAATGGGGCAACTCATGCAAATTAAATCTGTGCAACTTTCAGCATTATCAGCTTTTCAAACTAAAGTTATGACATGTCTTATGGCTCTCCAGCAAGCTTCGGATTTTTGCCTAGTCAGTGTGATCATCCATACGGATTGTGAACTATTGACAACGAATCAAAAGCCAGATTCTCTCCCCACAGAGGCTCAAGAAATTGTACT